TGGAAGTCTATGCACAACAAGGCATAGAAACTTTTCACACAGCCTTTTGGACAAACTGTGCATTTTAAATACAAGGAAGCATGATGGGAGATATAACTGTAAATAACTGTAACTAGCAAACAAAAAAGTATTTTATCTGTAAGTTAGTTCCAAAATCAGTAAAGCTACCTCCCCATTTTCTGGGGAGCTGACAAATAAGGAATAGCGAACAAAAGTTCACAAACTAATACTATGCTTTAAGAGGAAAAAAAAGACTTAATCGTTACATTGTTGTCATAGCAGCAGAAGAAGAATCAATAGGGACCTCTTCTATTATCTTCCAGATCCAGAAGGTATTTTGTCTCCTTCCTCTGCCTGAACAGACTTGTAATCCGGCAGTCAGAACATTTTCTATCACCACAGTTGTTATATTCCAAAGTGTCGGGGGGGAAGTGATGTGGTCAAACAGGATGGGGGCATTGACTGTCTGGACTGTCTGGGTTGTTTGAAACAGGATGGGGGCATTGACTGTCTGGGCTGTTTGAAAAGGATCATCGTCAGCAGTTATGGTTCTGAATAAAATGATTAATGCAATCTCACTTGCTCATTTACATGAATATTAATAATTAATAAAACGATGCAGGACTGTAAAAGAAGTGCATCACCTGTTAGAATGAACTGCTCTGACGAGCACTGTGAGAGGCTGGTGCCTGTCGAAATAGTTGAAGAAGTTTCCACATTTCTGATGTTGTAAACAAGCTTCCTTTGTTCCTCTTGTTCCTCTTTGGGTGTCATTTATTTAAATCACCTGGTTATTATTAGACACAACTAGCAAGTTACGATAAGAATCTGAAATACTAGTGGCCATCCACTGAGATGGAATTAGATTAAATTCAGTGAAACACAACAAGTCAGTGTTTACACAAAACTCTTACATCACAGAACTAAAACAGCGTGTCACACTATAATCACAACACTATAAAACAGTGTCAATAAAAATACCTCTTTACCGCTCTATTTACTACTCAGTGACTGAAAGTGTTCTGAGACATAATTACCCGTCCTCCGGTCGTTAGCAATCACTGTGAACAGTGCAGCAAAGCAGCCCGGCTATTCCTGGAGTTCAGAATGCCTGAGAGCATTAGTATTTCCTGCAAATCCTCACCAGCATCACAAAACACAAACCCTATAAAATCACTGGCCGTGGCCAACACATCCATTATGTCATTAGAGCTTGAAAGCCTCAGAGTTGGTCTGCAGTTGTGGTTCGGAAAGAAATCAATGTAAAGCTCTGGTTGTCTGCAGCAGCAGCAGCAGCAGCAGCAGCAGCAGCAGCAGGAGAGAAATGTGACACCATCCCAGTCAATAGCCTAGTTTCTCCTACCCAGAAAGGCTTGCTTGGACAGGTCTCTGCACATGGTGTGTGTCCCTGCATGTCTACAACACCTTTGTGATAATGGGCTTTTAACTTTCATCACTGCCACCACGCTTATTTTTTTAATTAAATCTGATGTATATGTCACATTTAAAGAGGAAGCTGAATTGACTGCACCTGGGAGACAGGGGAGGCTCCTGGCAGTCTAACCCTGTGGTGAAGTGGTGTTGGAGGTAGAAGCTGCAGCTCACCCACTTAGATAATGAAGTAGCTTTGAGTTTGGTGTAATGGACAGAGAGCTCAAGTAGAGCTGACCACAGTCTTTTAATGAAGACATGCAGTCGTTAGGATGCAGCGGGGAAAACTAATGAGAAGAGAGCGACAATGTATACCCAGGAGGAAGAGGAGGAGGAGGAGGAGGAGATAAACATAGACATGAGATAAACACAAGAAGACAAAGATTAGAGGAGACCCTAACAACCAACAGTATGTTCATTTGCCAATAAACAAGGCCTGTCCTAACCCATAACCTAAACTGTGTTATCATATGGTAAGAGTTTGTAATCTGATTATTCACAGGTAGCTGTGGACGAATCACAATTAATAATGATAAATCATCATTTTAATTAATCACGATTAATCATGATTAACTAAAATAACCCACATTCTTAAAAAACTACATAACCCTGACTGACCTTTTCTCTGTATATTTAATGTCATTTAAAAAAGAATTCCTGGTCTGAAAAATGTGTTTACGTCTGCAAAATGTTCAAATAGTAGTTCCAAAATTATGCAGTGACTGTTTATTTCTTACACAGATGTAAACAAGTGCAAAAATATAACTAAATATTTACACTGTGAAGCCATAGCTGTTACACTCCAACTGCTTCATCTGTAATGCTCACTGCTACAGTATTCCTGCTTTGTTTTTTTTTGAATTGCTAACAATTAAAGTACTGGTATAGTAGTTTATGGTTTGTAGAGAATTCAACACAATAACCTTGTGCAAAAATCTTTTTTTTTTTCTCCAAATGAATAAATCTTTCTAAGTTGTTCCTGATACTCCTGTGCGATATATTGTTATTATTATTGACAAGACTTAAGACTGCACACATGTATTTAAATGACCCGCAGCAGAAACATTTAAGCTTGGTCTATAATTTTAGGCAACTGACTGTTTAAGAAACTTCTTACATACTTTCACTCATCATAAACAACCAGCCGAGTCTGACAGCCTTTTGGCATCTTTAAAATGTTTAAAGATTAATTAAATTCAAAACCATGCTTTGCTCAGTCTCAGGAAGTGGCTGCCTGTCAGACAGCCAGCAGCAGCATTAGTGATGTTTGCTAAATAAGAATAATCTCTAATCATTAACCATGGGTACACATACCTGTACTGCCCTGTCCTGACCTCATCTGATATTTAAACAGTGATAATAAATATATTCAATTTTTTGACAGGTTTCAGTGACAACTGAACTGTTTTGTTAAGAATATAAGACAGATGCTAACTTTCCTGGATGAAGAAACCAAAGATGTGGGATTGTCTTGTTGACGCAGTGGTCACGAGCGTAACAAGACCAAAACGCCTGCCCTCCATGACACTGTACATTACTAACGTGATCACATGACGTGAAACAAGTGCCACTGCATGTCTGAGCTTCTCTGTGGTCCAATAATTTACCGGTGACTGTAAACAGCTCCTCACTCCACCATTCCATGACAATGAAACTTGCATGCATAGATGCACGCACAGCCACAGGCACAATATGTTTGAATTAGTGACATCCAGCCGCTGGTGTAAGGTGACACCACGTGTTCCTCTCACAGAACGTCACCATGGTTCAGACTGTTCCCTGGGGACAAGCCTGTTCTGGTAATGTGTCAGAATGCCTGTGTGTGAGTGAATTCCCTTCAGGACTGCAGCACCGTCCACCATGACGACAGGCTGTGGCAAACACACACACTAATACACACTGCTGCTCAGTTTTTGACATACAATGTGTCATCTTTTTGGCATCCCTCTCCAACAAACCCCAAACAGTCATCTCTTTATGGAGGCTGGGAGGAAGAATGACCAGGTTTCACTTTCTGTCTGACTTTTATTTCAAGCAAAAGTAGACAAAGCTAAACCGAGTGGACGATACTCAACTTTTTAGTGGCCATTAATATGTAAATATTAATACATATATATATATATACACACACACATCTGTGTAATATGCATTTATCTATTTATATACAAAAATATAGGAGTTCACAGTTGTTCTATTTGTCATACAGATTGAATACATTAGAAAATCTGAATGGTCCAAAAATACCCTATGTAATGCATGTTTATTTCAAATGACTAAAAAATATCCTAAAATGTTTTTTTAAGCAATGGATTTTGTGCCATGTTGAAGCAGCTGAGCCTGTAAGGACTTTGGAAGATTTTTATAATATATATATATATATGTAGATATATATATATATAAAAAAAGAGAAATAACAGAAAGCAAAAACAGAAACCAAAAGCAACCAAACTTTTTTTTCTCACTAAGCATTTTTTAAAATTCTTCTCACATCAAATTGGTGCTCAGTGTTTGTGCAGAGGCAGCCTTGTTCCAAGTGACTACACAAGGCTCGTTTCTGCTCTGCATTTGAAACATTTACATGACTCCCCAGAATAACATGTAGTAAAAGAGTTGGCTCTAGTACAGAGAAGCGGAGCAGTCGACAGCCCAGGGTTTTTTTTTAACAAAGCCTAGTATTGATGGCCACACTGTAACTATCAATAAGTAAGTGATACCGACCATTAGGTTTCCCTTACAACAAAGACGTCTCGGGTTGGTGTCAGTAAGTTGCAGGACTAACTGAGACACTTCATAACCACAGTCAGCACTAAGGCTACACATACACAGGTCTACGTTTTTGTTTTAAAAAAAACATACAGGCATCTTTGAGTAATCTTTGTGTAATTAGGCTTGAGCCGAATCAGACATTTCCAAAGCCTATGACAAAGAGGCCATGACTTATTCACCTCATGACTGTGACGCATCTGACGCATCATCGTCAGTGACATTTAAGGCATAAATGTAGCATTACATCATCTGACCATCTGAACTGCTGTCCTTCACAGCTTTTAGCATTGTTATCATGTGTTTGTCAATATTTTAGTATATTTTATTTTAATTGATGTTTATTTACCACACTCATGCCTCTGACACAGACCTGCAATTGCGATACGATGATGCACGACAACTTGACCATATTACACAATGTCATCAACATAAAAAAGTGTTTCAACAATGCGGACAGAGAAGGACTCCACCTCTACACAGAAGAAAGTCAGTTTAACAAGAGTTTAAGACTCAAGATAAAAACTACAAATATATTGTTCCCTTCCTCAACAATGATCTCAATCATATTTGATATTGGCTTCATTCACAGTTATACACATTATTATTATACAGTACCGCACTAAAGTAAAGCTGTATGAGGATCTGACCTTTGTAGAAGAGTGTCATCATGTTCCTCTCCTGACGTCCGTCACCGAGTGTGAGAACATCCTTCTTCAAAGACTCTGACTGGGGGAAAATGCAAACATTGTGCAACTGTTAGAATTCGACGAGTGGCAAAAAAGTTAAACACCAATCAACCCTCTTGTAAATGTATATTACTTTTGCAATGAGTTTAACAGTTTTACATGCAAGTGTAGAGAAATATTACACATGGAGCTTTCATTGCAAGTGCAGAGAAATATTACACATGGAGCTTTCATCATAACCACATGAAGTGCTAACACGTACTGTAACTGTATTCATTACGACACACCAGAGTGGGAAACAGGCTTTCAACACATGAAGAAGTGATCTGCTATACCAGGGGACTTTACAAACAGCAGACTCCGAGTCTAATTGTGTCTTCTCTTTTTTTTAAGATATGTGCTGCAGTGTGTGGTGTGAGAACTGGTCATGACTAAGCAGGCTGAGGTTGTGCCAGCTGAAGCAAAACAGTGAAATGCTACTGAATATGGAGGAGAGTGTAAGTTTCACTGCGAGCCTCACTGCCTCAGAGAAACAATCGAGCAAAAAAAACTGCCCACTCGTTCTTCACTTCCAACCACGATACTCCACCACTGAAGAGTTTGTGTAAAAACAAACACTTCACACACACCACATACCTGGTCTTAAATTTCAGAACTTTAAAGAGGAAAAGTGACACTGACAGCAACAGCTTCATTCCAGTATACCTTTTACGCCACTTTCCAACGGTTAGCATGTCCGAACCCGCAAAACCACGAGCTATGACTCTGAATACCTCAGCAACTGTCATGTTCCCAGTCGTAGAGTGCCTGACAATCCCCTACTGTTCACAGAGAAAGTGTCTGTCACTGGTGCAACATGTGCAGGCACAAATGTCACCAAAGCTGCCCACTTCAGAGGGTCTGTTATGAAGAATTGTTAGGAACTGGCTGAGTATGAACGTGAAACAAAAATGGACAAAGATGAATGTTCCAAAACAAACTAACAAACTAAAAATAAACTATCCAAGACTGAAAAATGACCAAAAAAAGCTAGTCGTATGAGAGGCACATGACTCGTGTGAGCTGTAGAAAAAAAGTGTATTGAGAGATATTTTTATGGTTTATTTTCTTTCCTGAATAAACATTTCTGAGATAATGCCTTCCGTGAAGTCAAAGGGTAAGGATTTTATTTTTGCTCTTGAGGGCAGAATGCCAAAATCAATGTGTGTCGATTCTGTGTGTGTTTCATAAAAGTGTTTTGGAGAAAAGACATGGGCCATTACTGTGCATCTAGACAACATTCATTTTAATGAACCACTTCACAGTTTCTGCGGAGCTGTGAGGAAATCCATTAAGGACCTGAAAAAACACCGGCACCAATCTGGCAAAAACAGAAGTCTGGCATCACAGGATGAGTAAATGTGTACCTTTTCAAATCTGGACACTGATACAGCTTTTCCACAGCAGTTTAGGATGACGGTAGTTTGTTTTGTTTCCCTCCAACAGCAAAGAAGATAACTTTCAGGATGTTATAATTACGTCATAGACTGTTAATATATTCACCATCACCATATCCAATAATTTCTTAAAGAAAGTCTTGGTCCATCATTCCGACGTATGGCCTTAAACTTCACCAACTTGTTAAACAAACTAGCTAAACAAACATATTTGAATGTGTTGACTTGGTTAAAAGGGACTCTTAATATCTCGTGAAAAATAACAAAGCAAGTCGCAAACTGTGTGCAATCTTACAGTATCAAACAGCAGCTCTAAAGGTCCAAAATAACCACTGAAAATACTTTTTTTTTTTAAACTGACATCGCGGCCGTACAAATAATCACACTCTTATTCAAGGAAAACATTTTAAGCTTAGAAGCAACACCTCCAGAGACACATACTTTCTCTCCCAGAGGACTCTTCCTGGACCAGTTCAATAAAATTGTGCTGATTTAGACAGTAGTGATGCGGCTGGTGCCAGCTCCTCCCACATCTCCCACAGGCTGAAGACTAGATAATACAAATCAACTCCAAAGGAAGGAAGAGTCAGTGCACACATGCTGGTCATGGTGTAAATCAGTCTTTATCTGGTAGGAAAATAAAGTTCTGCTACAGCACTCTGTAAGACAAGGATATTTGTGCAAAAACCAGGGATTGGTGAACGTCTATGTTGATTCATGTGGAGGTAACAATCTTCCTGTTGTTCACCAAAGAGAGTTTGGGTTTAGCAATTACTCTCAGCTAAGGACAACAGCAGTTCACCGCAAGGTTGAGGCAACTCAGAAGAGTCCTCTCTCAGTAATGACAACAGTAACAGTTGTATACAGTAGGTGTGACCAACTTTTTTTCTGTGACTGCACTGCTGTCTTTAAAGTCACACCACTGAACTCGCACATATAAAACAGGGTAATACAGTGGAGAGTCCCTCCTGTGGGATGGTGTGAAAATTTCAGAATATCATGTGCAAAATACAGCTTTTACAATAATCATGTGATTGACGCCACCCACTTCAGCAAAAGTCCACCCGATTTGGGCACCATCTCTTGTTATTGATCAGATCTCAGTGGAACAAGTAAACACACGTGAGCGGTGCAGGCTCACCACTGTGGCAGGAGAACACACTGCATACCAAATGTCTGTTTGTTCATTGTGCCAACCCTTATCTTTATGAAATTACTTTTGGCATCACGAGGAGACATTTGCCAACAGACATTTGCATGTATTTAAATCTGTTACTAGAGTACTAGTCTGCTCTGGAAATTTGGAGACAGTTACGGGTTGTAATAAAACAGGTGCACACACCTGCACATTCTTCATCCATGAGCCAAACAGAAACATCTGTCGAGATAAATCTTTGCCAAAAATGGAAAATCTACCAGAGAACGGAAACAGGTGCAGAACTATAATCTGCACTTTTATGTTGTGTAAACCGTTTGCTATGGTAGCTATGGCTTTTGCTTTATATGTGTCATTTGTAAACCTGTCGGAGGTGTACAGCTCTCAGTTAGCTCAGCCCTATAGTTCCTTGGTCACTTTGTTTTCATGTACAGCAACCAAATTCTCCAAATTCTCCAAATTCTGTAACCAGAATTGCTGCCAACACTGCTCTTTGTAGACTGTGGGAACTGTTGCATACTATTGATTCCTACTTTGTGCATTAATATCCTGTGAAGCAGACACTATAATGAACTAGGCGGGTTACACATTGAACTGCATGCATGTATATCCATTTCTTTTATATGGTTTTTGGTTTAGGTTGGTTTAATTTATGCCTAACAGTACAAAGTTTAAGTAAATGTAGGATCCCAAAGGGATCCAGATAAAAACCACTGCTCTAGACTGATAATACAGATTCACTGTTTGTAAAGGTAAAACACAATCTCCTCTACTTTCTTCTCAATATGATTTCAGTGTAATACTGATAATACCTTCGTCCATTTTCCTATTACACGGATTTTAGGCGGATCATTTTAAATTTGATTTAATTTCCACATAGAAACTGTGAAATCAATTGATGTGAATGTGTTCTGTGAATTTGGGCGTCACAAGTATAATTGACTACACGCGCGCGAGCACGTACACGTACACACACACAGGTTTATTTCTGTAACGGCTCAGGATAAATATGTCAATTTCCCTTGTGTCTGTTATTGTTTACTAAACAGCGCCAGTGTGTAAAAAACGAACGCACCCTCCTCGTTAACGTTCCATTAAACGAATGGCGGGCGGCGAAGTCACCGTGAGCCCTCTGGTTCACTTTAAAGCTCTATAATATGAGTGTAAACCGGGGTGAACTGCGGTCCTGTCGGCGGGCAGAGTAACAAAGAGCTTGTCCTGACACGCTTTCAGCAGCGGCTGGTCTAAGCACCGTCCTGCTCTGTCACCTCTTCTATTAAAAGAACCTAAATTTGACTAAACTTCCTGCTGGTATAACATTAAACAAATGAACCACGCGAAGGGCAATCATATTAATCTTAACCCCCCGCCCCTATAAGGAACGCGTGTTCGAGTACTTCAGAGTTAACTTTGAACAGTTCCAACAAAACCAAGCACATGCACTACATGGGGAGTCTCTATTTACTCACCTCACAGAAGAAACGAGAGTCCTATCATTCATTAGTGGAGGCTGGATGTCAAAGTGTTCGTCCGCCGTGTTACACTGAAGCCGACTCCTGTCATGTCGTCCAGTCCAGTGTGTCACCACTTCCCTCTTTTCTGTCTTCCAAAAACCTACACTGCAGCTCCACGGAGGCGGACCAGGGGCGGAGCTACTCCTTATCTTGTCCTCCCAGGAGAGGAGTCCGGGGCCAATCCAACATCAACACCACACCGCTGGTTTTTACTAAACGAGTCTTTTTATATGGCATCATTTATATTAAATTGATATAACCCGCGTACCACTAGAGTGCCACTGGTGGTACGCGTACCACAGTTTGAGAACCATTGCCCTATTGCTTTCGAAGACTGGGTCACTGCTGTTTTTTTAACTGATGAATTTCTTGTGAAAAAAAATAACAACGACAACTCATATTCATTATTTAATTTTTATTAACATAAGTTAGATTTAGAATCATTAACAAAACAATTATTCAACAAAGACTAGTCAACACATACATACACCAGATTATAAAGTCCAAGTACAGTATTGAATTTTAGATTAGACATCACCCAGTAAGAAAATAACCCAGGGACAATTTATTACAAGGCTCTCAGGAAAAAAATAACCTCACCCTGACACCCTGATGACAATAGACATCTGGATGTATTTTTACATTTCATTTTACAGTTTAATCCCCCCCCCCATACACACTCAGACAAATTTGACAGTTCTGAAACTGAACACTCCAAATGTCATTGGATTTAAACAAAATCCAGTTGTGATTTCATACAAGTAATTATTTAGTGAGCATTACAGCATGATGAACAAGCTATAAAATCAGTACATATTTGGATAAATAAAGAGGTTGACATTGGGACTCATACTACACAGGCATCTGTGCAGTGTGTACTGTGATCAGGAGGATTTTTTTAACATTCAATAGCTGTCAGAAATGTATCCACTAATTTGTGAATAATGACAACTTCTGATGAAGGTTTAACTATTAACTCAATGACATTTTTCCATGATAAATTTTATATTTACTGAAGGCACAGAAATATTAGGCTCAATTTGTACAATACTGTTACAAAATTACATGCAAGAGTTAAAACCAAAAGTGGTTCTCATGAAATGGTTTTCGGACAGATTTGGAATAAATACCTTTCATTTGCTGGCACTGTTCAGCTTCTCTGTTCTTTATACAAGGATCAGAATGTTGACGTGAACCAAAGAAATACTACATTTGAAGATTGAAAAAAGCTTGGAAATGTTGGTCCTTGTAGACAAGAAAAACCCCAAACATGACTTTATCTACTGTATGCACTGTGTTGTTATAAAAAGTTATTAGAACAACATTGTAAATCAGTTTTTACTTCAGTCTACAAAGGTGCAATCAGGCAAGAAGAGTACTAAAATGCCAAGAAATAAAAAGATAAAATAATAAATTGTAACAACGGAATTTCTTAAAAGGTACCGTGGCCAACTAGCTTCTCAATTAAAGTGTTTCTTTGTAATCAAATGACAATGTATGACAATGAGTCTACTGATTGTTTAGTCACGAACGTATTATCAAAGCGGGGTTTGTCAGCTCACAGTTTGGATCGCAGTGGTTTCAGGTACTTATGGAAAGACTCGTGGACCTGTCAGACAAATCAGAGGGCACAGATAAAAGGTGTTTTAGTTTTGTAGTCAGTTTAAAGTTACAATAAAACTGCATGACACTTCTACTGTAGTCACATGAACACAACACTAGACCGTGAGATGGAAATTACAAAACATTTTGTCTTCAACCATAAAACATTAAAGCTGAGAATAAAAATACATTTTGAAAAATAGTGGTGCTAGAACCATCCATAAAAGCTGAATGAATGTGATAAATTCACCAGCACTTCCACTGACCTCTGTGGCGTTCAGCGGCGATTTGCGAGCCCATTCAAACAAGTTCTCATAGACGTTGCCGTCATATCGGCCCAGCACTGAATTCAAGCTCTTGTCGTTGAAGTCGAAAGAATCCACGAGCGCCACTGCGTTGGGCCTCAGCTGGGACAGGAGCTCCTTTATACGAGCAGAAATCTGCAGCACCTGTGAACCTTTCAGCAGTCCAGCCTGAATAAAAGAGAGGAGCAGAGTTTTCATATTTAATCTTCTGAATGGTTATAGACACTCAGCTGACCCCCACTACTCCCTCTCCCCCACACACACACCAACAAAAGTCTCTATTCTTTGTATTCAACACAAAGACGGGTGTCATGAAAATTCTTGTCACCCATCAGTGAGTAAGTGTGCTCGTAGTGGTATTAACAAGGGCTTACATTCACAATGTGTAGGTTTGTGAAAAACACTGTGTGGAGACCACTTTTTCTAAGATTATTTCAACAACTTCTCACCAACATGAAGTCCCCAGAGTTTTGTTTGATGCCTCGCAGAGCGTAGAGTTGAGCCAGTGTTGACAGCACCGAGTGTATGGCCGGGTCACTGATCTGCCCGAGCTTCTCAGTGAACACCTTCACCACAACATAGTGACAATGAGCCTGAAGACGAACCAGAAGGAGGGAGAGTATTTAGATGTTCTGCCTGTCACTGTCACAGATGAGGACAAATCATTTATTTAGTGAATCAATAACACTTTTTGAACCAATTAAGTGAGAGTGGATCATTTCCAGGGCACACCTCTCACTGCACGCTACAGTGGAGGGGAATCACTGATGAAAACAGTCAGACAGTCACACACACAGACACAGGACTTACATCTGAAGCTCTGACCAGGTCAATAGCACTGTTGTTCCAGGCATGGGCATGACTCTTTCTTTTCCCCAACTCCTCCTGGATGCTGTTGGCCGCCAGCTCCACTAAGCTGCAAAGACAGAAATGACCTGCCTTTAGTGAAGAAAGCACCCGACGGACATAAAACAGTAAGAAAACATCAAATGTATCAGATACAGCATCAGGCAAAATATGGACAAACAATGTAAAAAAATAAATAAAATAAAGCTCTTCAAGTGCAACACTTCATACAGTAGTTGTCTGTGTTTGTCTTACCTCATGGCTCGGAGCTTGTAGACGTCCACCAGACTGGCCAGGTCACTGATGTCAACCACGGTCTGTCCAGCAGCCATAGGCTGGGGCTGCAGCCTCTGTTGCCTGGCTTCACCCAGGTACGACACGGTGCCACTCAGTCGTTGGCCAGCTTTAGCCTGCTGGTAACTCTTTACCAGGTATCTGCACAAACAAGAACAGAGCCCACATAGATCCATAATAAATGTTTGTGTATTTGCAACATAATGTTGTGAAAAGCATAGATACGTGTTGGTGCTGAAAATTACGTTATTCAGTCACCACTATTGTCATCTAACTGCCGCTTCATCTGATTCCCATACTTGATGAGAAACAGACCATATCCTTTATGGACCTACATCATAAAAAAACTTTCTAGGAGTACCTACTCCTGTCAAACAGACCTTTATTTAACACACTTAGATAACAGTCTATGGTTTAACACACTTTGGTAACTAACTATAAATTCTATTTACAATACGTAATACTTATAACATTTAGTAGCCATGCTGCTGGTTGATCATTTTTGACTGAGAACTTTCCAAGACTCAAATTAATAGTGACACCTTGTAGAATTTACCTCGCCGTCTGCAGCATCATGACAGTGTTCTCGCCCTCGTAGGTGCAGTTAGGAGTGATATCCACGTAAATGTCCGGCAAAGCACTGCTGCGAGAGTAGCCATGGCCACCGCACGCCATGCGGCACACCTCTATGGCACTGCTGACTGCCCAGGTGGTGAAGGCTTTCAAACCCGCAGACAGAGCGTGGAGCTGCAAAATGAGATGCAACACAGGACAGAATCCAGTTAAAAAGAATGATCTATGTTTGAACTGAACAACAAAACAATTACAAACATAAGATAAGATGCTTGAGAAAATGTCAAAATAGTAGAAAGGAAATTTGGTTTATCTCACAAATTGTTTCTCTCAGAACACAAACAGTCAATTTGTGCACACACTGCAACTATGAATGAGTGAACAAATCTTACATTTATCAAAATCACTTTGTCTAGGCTTATTGATTGCACAGGATCGAGTAGGAAATAAAAAAGAAAAGACATAATTGGCTCTGTTGACCCTATAAATCAGCCTTATTCCCTGACTCTCCTCGTAGCAAAGGCCTTTGACCCAGGTCTTTAATCAGAGAGACGATTTATGTGGTCATCACCTCAGGCATTTCACTGAAGTCTCCCATGCTGATATCTCCAGTGATGCGCTGGTAGGTTTCCCTAATGTACTGTCCCATGAAAGTGAAAGCATAGGCCATGGCCAGCAGAGGGAAGAGTTTATCCTGCTGCGTCTGGAAGTCCAGGATCTGGGGCTCTGGCTCTCTGCAGGACAGAAGTTAAAAAAAACATTGTTTGTTTTATTTAAACGTGAAAAAATAAATACAAACAAATACTTTTTTTTTTCCATGAATGACAACCCTTTATTTCCCATTTTACTAATTTAGAGGTACTAACCAACTGAACGTGTACCTGTTGTTGTACTTTCTATATTGCATAAGTAACCAGTAACAAACGTGGTGGTCTTAGAATCAGTTTATTCTACATTCATATCAGTGCTTTTGTTTTGTGTTGGTTTTTTAATTAATCATTAACTAGGCCTACAGTGCCACACAATGGTCAAAGTAAGGAACTGCAACCCACTGCTTTGCACATACGTCTGCATCCATGAAATTTCTGGTTTCAACAAAGTTCAGAGTCTTGGCTTAGCCCTCTGTGTGTGTGTGTCTCATTCAAACTTGTATTAATTTGCATGTAAGAACTCAAGTGTGAAACATAATGCTGCTACTTTTTTAAACATCAATTTGGAATTTCTGACCCCGGCTGTATTTCAGACTGGTGGCGAACAACACTGTAGCGGATGGCAATGGTGCAGGACTTGGCAAGTGCCCGAGCTGATTCACCCACAATCAGAGAGCGGATGAACACCATGGTGCCATACATCAGTTTGTCACTTGGTGGCTTCACATAGGTTCCATCTAGATCCACCTAGTGGAAAACGAAAGAAAAAACATCCTTCCTTAGATAAGATACTTGCGGAGCAGAGTGTAGAATGAATTTGACAAGCATGGGATATGTTTCTAACAACAGACCACAGACCATACTGAAATACAGCTTATGTTAAAAAACACATTTGGCTGAAGGACAAACTTGCCCGTGCGCTTAAATAATTAATCATTTAGAAACTGCATTTATAAAAATCAGACTGTTGATACCAGGTCTCCATTGTCTAGGCTTATTCACTGCAGACAAAAAGATGAAACAGGGCAGAATAATCATAGCACTGTTGACCAGACCAGAGAAAATGTCAGGTCACCTTGGCATATTTCATCAGCATGTTCTCCCGTGGGATTCGTACGTGGTTCAGTTTCAGGAAGCCATTGTCAACTTCGCTGAAGCCAAACTTGGGCCCAATATCTCCAACTGTTATACCTGAGACAAACATGTAAAAAGTCAGTCAAGGATGGAAAAATTAAAAAAAAAACAACAACAACCACAGAGACAAACGGTACTCAGGGGTTACCTGGCAGAGGCTCATGTGTGTCCAGATCACGAATAGGGACGATGAAAGCATGCAGACCGTGACATATACCCTGTGTGAACAGCTGGGCTAGGACAACTGCATGGTTTGAGGTCTTTCCAACTAGTGAATTAACAAAAGGCAGTGAGTATTTTAACACGACATGGTCATGGCTCTGAAGCCTGTCAGCTGTCTTCATCTTATAATATTTGTTCACAGGAAACCTAACGCTTTTTGTAATTAACGTGCAAAAATAATCCACTTACGTCCTCCAGGCCACCATTTAATGGAGCTGACCGTTGGACTGTTCATGACAAACTCCTGGGTGGCGGGGTCATATGTGGCCGTGGTCTCCAACCCTCTGAGGTGCGTGCCTACAGAATTACAAAATGTGAATACCTGCTACACATTCACACAGTGGAAAGTCATTGAATATATTAAAAAATGAAATGAATAATAAACAATTAATATTACAATGTTTAGCCCTTTAGAGTTTAATATTTAAATTTAAAAACAACGATTTATTTATTTATTTATTATATATGTTATATATATATAATATATGTATTATATTTCATATATATTATATTTTAAAAGAAACTCTAGTCAGTTGACAGATCCAAGTGACTTCCAACAGTCAGTAGCTGTAATTCATGCTGTACCTGCAGAGGAGCCTAAAAAATAAATATATAATAGGTATGGTGTAAAGTATAATGTTTGGTGGGTTTATGTTGGTTTAGAAAAAACAGGTGATTAGGGTTAAAGTTAATAGTTAGAAAGTTAATTAAAACATGGTTAGTAAAAGGTTAACAGTTAGATGCTACCAGTAAGACAAATGTGGAGGGAGATTGATAGATTTTAGATTTGAACAATTCTGTACTTTCCAGTAAAGCAACTAACATAAGAAGCCTAGTACGTTGTGACAAATCAGTGTTTTACAAAAGCAGTGTGGAAGACAATTAGCTCAAATGATTTCTGTCATGATATCGTTATATCAACAAATAGGTCAAATGTTAAGACTTCTGTTAGATAAATTAGTGTTCATGGACTTTTGGTACCGATGTATGTTTTCTAAGGCATTAACTCTTACTGTTATATGATCCTTAAAGGTGGCACCAGTCTACCTTAAAAATGATCCGCACCTAATTTATGGATTATAGGCCTTTTGAAATGTACAGACACTAAGTGTTTGTTTAGTGTCTGTAAGTGTAGCTTCAGGCCTCGCACATAGATACGGAATTAAGGGAGAACGCAGATGTGAGCAGACTTGCAAAACTATGGAAACTATGGACTGCTTGGTTGGTTTTACCGTGGCCCATCTCAGTTTGAGCATAGGTGCCGATGATCTTTAGGTTCCAAGCAGGCATGAAGAAACGGTCCATCTGCTCTGGAGTGGCCTGGCCGAGCAGAGTTGGTAGGAACATCCCTAGATGGAGGTCCAAGGGCTCAGGTCTGTTGCGATGCACACAACTAAAGACCGAGGACAGTAAAGAAAGGAAAGCAGGTAGTGATGCGGGAAAGGCAGGGAGAGAGATGGAATTTTGTTTTAAATGGAAGCCAGGATATGATTGGGCAGAGTGATTGCAGATGATTCAAGAAGGGGTGACAAAGACGGTGAAATAACTGGTGAGCATGCAGTACACAGCAGATTTAATCACAATGTCAATCACTTGATTCAAACCTTCCACAGCATCAGCATTACAGCTGTTACTGCATGCAGTTTTTTGCATCTTAATGCAGTTGTTATTAATTCATCTATCTGTTCATCATCTACCGTTTCAAACAACTACAACGAGGGCAACTTTTTAGTAGGTGTTTTTGAAGAAGTTTCATCTCTCATCCAAGAGGCTTCTTCTTCCTATTTTGTCGTGTTGCCCTCAATGTAACGTTTGTTGGAAAAAAATGTGTTAGTTTCCTTAAATGTTAGTTAATTCTGAAATATTTTGTGTTGCGGTTTTCAAATAATTTATTAAATTAATTTTCTAAGGGAAGTTAATAATTATCCAACGAAAAAAGGATGTGGCTGCAGTGCAGCTTTACACTGGTGAAAAAAACACATCCATAATTAAAAACGAACAATTACCAAGAGCCTCAACAAGTCTAACAACAAGTCAGGGAGTCATTCTGAGCAGAGCCTCATTGGGATTCACAGAGATAAACTTGTCTGCAACATCACAGTGTTGATTAAAGCTTGAATGAATAAGACCAGTTTGTTGATCAACCGTTGCTGTGATTACTCCAGTGAACATGCTGTCAGGAATAACCGCAGAGAAAGAAGACAGACCCTGCAGAGAGAAGACAGCAGTCTTGTGCTACAGTCACTACACAAATACATGTCGTCAAACTATATTATATAAACGGTGACGGCTTGTTTAAGTGTACTGTAGGCTTCCCTCCTGTAGGTTAGTCAGAATTACCATGCAGGTATATGAATTGTCCCTTCTTTTTTTTTTACAGACTTGGATCTGTCAAAGACGTACAACAAATGACCTGATGTCCCCTTGGCACAGAATGTTTTCTGTGCAATGGTAGGTTTCTGGCTAAACATTGAAAACTTGTGAAAACAAGTTTTAACATGTGTGCATAGTCTATGTTTGTTAGGCTTTGTCCAGCACTGACCATGACCCATTTCAGTCTGGGCATATGTGCCCAGAACCTGGAAGGACTCCGCCAGAGGTAACCATTTCCTGGACTGCTTTGGGTCACACTGGGCGTATAGAGTCGGGAGAAACATGACAAAATGTAACGCCAAGGCCTCAGGGTGGTGTCCTTTTGCAAGTCTGAGCGATGGAAAAGTATATGAGGCACAACCGTAAACATGTTTTCATGATTGAAAAATAAACCCTCTCTCTCTTTCTCACACTCACACGGAAGAGCCACTCATGTCAGGAATACACTTTTATTTTGCTAAGGAATTATATTAAAGATTCTCTTTCATATGCGAGTTCTCGGGCAAAGTTCAAACAAAGGTATTGGTTGAAAGAAACAGGTTCCAGGAAACAGGATCAGGTAAAAATCAGAAAAAGAACGGTTGTCAGTCTACCTAGGACATGAAGCAGTATTTTTTTTGTGCAAACACAAATTTGTAACACACTGCAGTGGTCACAGACGATGATAAATTAGAAAATATTTGAATTTCATACACACATACCTTAGACTTTATTTTTTAAAAAACACCTTAATTTTTTCTCTATTTTTCTATCTATCTATCACTTATTAGTTACTTAAAATAATGGACGGGGTGATGATTTGTCTTATTCTGTTCTGAGGATGACAACATTTATCATTTCTCATAAATATAAACATATTGCAATGATTATTCATTTGTGCTGTTTTCATGTCTGCTTTCAGAGGCCAATGTGTAAAGAAACACTGTATTGACACCAAATATTTCCTGAAGTTAATGCTTCTTGAAGGAAATTTCAATTTAAAACTGGTTAAAGCTACATAACCTCTGACATGGTTTTAATCTCCAGGTGAACTTTACTCCACATGTCTTTCAAGAGCACAAATAAAGTTGAACTACAAGGTATGTATGAAAAACAAACCTTTGTTCCTGTCAGTATAAATGCTAAACTTGGGTATGACTATAAAACATGGCGTAGTATTGCTCACCTTTTGTAGAAAAGGATCTCCTCTGGATCAGAAATGCCATACTCCCTGAGTTTCAGGATCATTGCTGCACTTTTCCGAACAGCTTGGTCATAACGTTCACTGCGAGCCAGGAAGTTTGGATCTTTTTCATTGAAGTCTGGATCGCTGAGAACCAGTGACTCTAAGGCAGACAGAAACATAAAAACAGTATTTTGTAGCTTATAAATCCTGAAAATAAGTCTTCACAAAAAGAAGTCTGTGTGGGACATTTTTAATTGACTAAATATCAAAACATGTTTTATTAAAACATAGCGGATGGTATATATCAATATAACAATATAAATCAACGACCTTTTATCCCACATATAAACAGTTCTTGGGACAAAAGTTTTTTTTCTCTTACAGATAAGATTACTGTGTCCTGAGAGGAAGGGAATCAGTTATTTGAACTTAAATAACCTGAACATTTATGACCTTGAGGTGTTGACTATCCAGTTCCTGAATAGGACCAACAATCTTGGAAAACTATTGACACAAAGATGAACCCAATGCGTCGTTCATTTCTTTTTTAGCTTTTGTGGTTAGATTGTTTCACTAGGTACAAATATTGATGAAGTTTGATTAAAATTAATATGAGTAAAGAGAAGGATAATTAGACATATGTTCACTCTTAAGACTTAAAGGCATTATTATTTTAGATGCTATTTTAGTATAGTAAATTCTGAATATTTGTAAATGCATTAAACTTTACTTTATTCATTCAAAAGTACATTTAAAAACTATAAGGATATTTTATTATCCTATAAATGTATCATGTATGTTACGTGTACGGTATATACAGCCAGTAAACATTTACTGTAAAGCACTGGGCTTTACTTAACTAACTTGGGACTAGTACTGGTACTATAGAAAATACACAAAACACAAACTAACATTTATAATTACAATATATCTATGTGATGAGGGAGACGTGGGCAAAAGGAAGCGATTGCTTTCCGGATTGTTGTAATATGAGATTTGGAAGAACAGTGTAAAATTTTGAATATTCCAAACATTATTTATTACTAACAAAAACAAGTATAGTCTGAGGATGTTGCGCATTGTCTGCTAATAGCAGAAGCACAGCTAAAAACCTTCATAAAGAATTGCTTGTCTCGTCTCTTCTTCACTTAAGCAAATATTTCATGTATCTATCCTTTGCTTTGTATTGATCAACTTCGACGTGGTGTCAATATCGAGTGCAACAGCTACGTTTTTAGGAACTCACCGATTTCTCGTCTTCTTTTAGTCTTTTCTGGGCCGAGGTCCAGAATGTTGGTGAGTGTCTCAACATCAAAAGTGGCATTCTGCCGTTCTCTGATAATATCAGGATTCATTGTGGAGTATTAGACGTTTCTACTGCTGGGCGCAAATAAACAGGGATAAAACAGTGTTATTTGTGCCACTTCCGTCCACTGCTAATTCCCGAAGCACTGTCTGCGGACGAGCTTCTGCTGTCACGCATGCGCACAGTAAAGAAAGATGCCAATGCACCACGTGACCTATATTCCGGAAGCAGTTCCCCGATACTATCAACAAGCCAAGAATTGCAACAAATCTATTGACAACTAGAAGAAGAATTAGAAGAAGAGTTAGTTTTGTTACACAACATTTCTATGTTATTTTCAGTCGTTATTAGAAATACTAGACAATGATGCTTCCTCCGGCAGCAGTTTTTCATTTCCCCTGGGAAATAAAGTCTAACGCCATCCGAGAAGGAGAATCCATCAGAACATTTGGCCGGTGAGTTTAGTTCGAAATTGTTTAAAAATGTTCGACTTCCATACAATGCATACAACGTCAAAACGTTTTGAATACGTTTTCAGTTGTGTTTAAGAGGAACGTTTTTTCCCCAATTTATAAGTGCTATATTTGAAGGTTGTGGATTCGCTCCATCATCGCTCCTAGTCTACCGGTTAATATATCACATTTATTTTGCGCCAAACCAACAATCTAAAAAGCGGGTTGTATATATATGCATATATAACCTAATATGTATATAAACCTAATAATGATATTTTACATTTTTCAGACTTGTTTTGTATCAGTCGGAGGAGTCTAGAGCAACACTGTCGGCTGAGCATGCTTCAAAAGAACACCATGTTGTTGTCAACACATTGTTTGTGGAGCCCTTTAACCCAATACTTGGGGCCCAGTACTTAGTTCTGGGGGAAACAGAAAATGCTGAGGGTAAGAGGAACCTATATTATCTGTTATAACTTAATGTTTCAGACTATATTCAGTTTATTTATAAGATACAATGTACTGTACCAATGTTACAATGCACTTACCTCACACAGTAAACAGGTGTATAGGCTAAATACTACAGACTTTCATTTTAAGACAACCATACACACTAACTAATTGAATACCATATAGGAAGGGTAGTTACTGTTGTTTTTACTGGTAATACGAATGTGATCAATATTTGAGGTCATCTGTGTCTTCTGACTTTACAGGGGTTGGAGTGATGGTCCGTGCCCGGGTGCTGACCTGTGTTGATGGTGTAAACATTGCCCTTCTGCAGAAGGCCATCAATGAGCAAAGGAACTTCTTCCGGGAGAGGGAGTGTGGTCAGGCTCAAAATGCACAGCCTGGAAATACCACCTGATCAGTTGGTATCCACCAACTCAAGACTGTTAACATGAGCTCCATGAGCTTCAAGTAAAAATCACGAGACAGCGATGTCTCATGATATGTCTGACTATAGTTTGAACCGGGTTTTAAATGTGTTTACAGTAGAGTCTATATTTGTGGTATTGTGTTAATTAATATTATTATTCTTAAAATGTGTCTTTGTTCATACAGACATGCTGATGACATCGCTTTTTATTCATTGGCTACCTGACCAAAAGAGTTCAAAAAGGTCTTCAACAGCATGTTTGTTGTTTCACCATTCAGTTATCACAATAACATCTGACACCAATAAAAGGACATTTGTGAAAAGCTTTGTTAAATTTGTTAAGTAAAATATATAATCTGAAAAGTCTTCAAAAGAAATTCAAAACATTCTAGATGGCACAATATTAAAAGTGAGAGAATCAGTGTTCTTTGCCATTATAATTTAATTTTATTGATATTTGTTTCTTAATAAAGTATCAAACAAGACTATGTTTAAAGCGAACAGCGATGCCCATGGATAATACAGGAATTAATCAATCTTAGTAAATAGAATTGCACCATGTCCCAGGAACCCTAACACAATAAAACAAAGATAAATGTAATTTAAAATCTTTTTTAAATTAGATCTAAAACATTGCCCATGTCAGGTACAGTTACAGTAAACAGAGGCAACACAGCAACGATCAAGTGTTGCTGTAGGAGACTTTTCCTGAGTCAAAATTGTAATGAATCGTGATTTTATATGGATTGGCCATATCTAACAGTACATGTTTACTGGACCATGACTGACTAAACTCTCAGCATGTTGTAAACAAATCTAAAACTTTGCATATCTTGTAGAGTTGTACATTGAAGTGTACCCAGAATCCTTGGAGGAGGCAGGCAGCATTGGTAAGCCGGTCACTGGGTCTATTTTACAGCGATCCAGAGCTTGTTTGTAGTTGATTTTCTCTTTAGTGATTGGGTCTGTAATATCTTTGGTGTAGGTGGTCTCAGCCTGCAGCTCCCTCAGAATTGTGCTGTCAATCATCTTCATCCCAATGGCATCCAAGATGCTCACTCTGTGGCCAGTGTTGGGGTCGACCAGGCCTCCAGTCAGGTGCTGTGCCTCCATATAACGCAGAGCAGTGTCCTTGGTCATCCATCCCTTCTGAACCGCCTCTCCAGTGGACAGTCGCTCTCTGGTAACAGGGTCTTCTACACCAGTGAAAGCTTTTTGAGCATTAAGTAGCCTCTGCATTTGACTGTCATCAATGAGGCCTCTGGTTGCTGCCTTGTGAACGGTGTACCTCTCTTTATTGTTGATGTCAAAAATTCCGCCCGTTGCTGCCTGTGCTTCAAGGAGCCTTTGGGCAGTAGTGGGGTCAATCAGTTTACGCATAGCAGCGCTGCGTATTGTAAAGCACGTGTCAGTATTTGTATCCATGACTCCAGCAACTGGCAGGAATTCCCTTGAGGTGGGCAGCTCAAACTGGGATGATTTTAGGGTGGTAGTAGTAGTTGTCTTGGGGACGACCGAATTAAACTCAAGCTGCTTTTTATTGTCACCTGCTACAAGCAAGGCGAACTCTGAGATGGGGAGTTTTCCATCTTTGTATTGTTGTATATCATATTCCGTCAGCCGGCCATCTCTCAAGGCATTTTTGATAGAGAACTGCTTGCCACTCTTTCGATCCTGCAGGACTGATGACTCACCATCAGGTCCCATAGACGTTACCTCTTCCCAGTCACACTCCAGCTCTTGCAGATGAATGTACTGTTTGCGATCGATCAGGCCCTGCAGGTAGGCATCATAAGGAGACATGTCTTTGCCTGTTTCTGGGTCCAAAATGGTGATTTTGGTGGAGATATTGGTCTCCTTGGTCCTTGTCTCTGTGTTCTCCTCTTTCTGCTGTAGAAGCACAAGTTCACGGATGGCGGTGTCCCGTTCATGAATCCTGTCTTTTTCATTCAGGATTTCCTTCTCCAGTCTCTGTACGTCAGACTCCATTTTAATGCTTCTCTGTCTACTCATCTGTGTTCTCTCACTCATCAGCCGACTCTGCTGGTGGAAGGACAGGCTGATGTCCTGTTTTTTGGTTTCAAGTGTTCTGAGCTCCCGGGTGAGGTTGTCCTTCTCCCTCTCGAGTGCATCTCTGCTCAACGTAAGGGAAGTTTCCTCTCTTGAGGTGCTGGACTTGGAGCTCGTCAGGAGGTTGATTTTATCCCTGGCACGTCTGATTTCATCCTCCAGGTCTTGTCTGGCAAATCTTTGTTGGGTAACCTGTTCCCTCAAATGATCTCTTTCAGTTTCAACAGCTTGATCTTTCTCAACACGAACCACCTCTTTGTACACCGTCTTCTCACCAGACTTTTCTCTCTTCAGCATCTCAATCCTCAGAGTGATATTACGGATTTCTCTCTGGAGACGCAGGATTTCTCTAGTTTCGTTGTCCATACCAGACCGAATGTTATTGGTCAACCTGTCCAGTTTTGGATCTCTCTCAACCTTTAGCACTTCCTCAACAATAATACTTTCCTCAACAGGGGGTGGTGCATTCTCCAGCTGTGTAATACGGATACGGATCTCTCTGAGTTCAGACTCAGCCTGGACCCTTTTCTGGCGCTCATCACTCTCTCTGAGGATCCTTTCTTTGTTTTCCAATGTTGTTCTCAGTTGCTGGAGCTCTAGTTCAGTCTGACGTCTGGTCATTATTTCTTCATCCAAGCTCCTGCCCAACCGATCATGCTCAAGTACCTGTCTTTGATCCTTCTGTAAACGTACAACTTCCTGCACAATCACTTTCTCCTCAGGTTTCTGTCTCTCCAGCTGAATGTATTTGTTTTGTAGATCAAACACCATCTCTTCAGTGTTGCGCCTCAGCTGCGCCTCTTCGCGTAAATCTCTTCTCAAACGATCAGCCTCTTTCTCCAACAGTGGATCAGGTTCATACTTAATGACTTCTCTGGTGATAACCTGGGTTTCTATTTTGGACTTTTCAGCTTTCAAATCATCCCTTTCATTTCTAAGTAGCCTCACGCGGTCCTGCAGAGTGCTGTAGGAGGTGCGTAAACGGTAAATCTGGTCATTGAGCCTCTGGATCTCTCTCTCATTTTCAGGACTTCTTTCTTCTTTGACCACCTCTTGAAGAACCTCTTTATATTCCACTTTAGGTTTCTCAGACTGAAGAATGTGCACATCGGATGTAACCTGAGTTAGGTTCCTCTCTATATCAGAGCGTTGCCTAGTCAGGTCCTGTAATTCTCTTCTCAGTCGCAATATCTCCATCTCTGTATTAGGGTCTATCCGGTAGATTTCATTGACAATTTCCTTCACCTCAATTTTTGGTTTCCAGTCTTGAACCTCTCTGTAACGGCTATGCAGATCCCTCAACTCAGTGGACAAGGTGCCATACTGAGCCCTTTCCTCATTAAGGTTGGTTCTGATCGTCATGGATTCGGTGACAAGTTCAGGGTCTTGTTCGATTTTCTTTACTTCCTTGGTGATGATCTTGGGCTGAATATTTGGAATTAGACGCTCAAGTGCATTAATCTGACTCCTTGTTTGGAAGATGTCGTTATTGATCAACTTCATCTTGTTGGTTTCATCAGAAATCTCATGCTCAAACAGACGCACTGCTTTTAGCATCTCTGGGTCCTGTTCTACTTTCAGCACCTCTTTCTTCACCACCATCTGTTTGATTGGTGGCTGCTTCTGTTGAAGAATTGTGACTTCTGTCTTCATCTGAATTTGTTCTCCATCTCGTACGTGAATTTCATCCCTCATTCTTGCCATCTCCTCTCTTAATTTACTTGCCTCTTTGTCCAACTGAGGATCCCTCTCAAACTCTGTTACCTCTTTGGTCACCAGTTTAGGAGCAGTGTTTTTCAGGGTGTCCTCCAGAACTGTGATTTTCTTGTTAAGAACTTCAACGTCTGTATAGACTGTGGTACGTCGCAGAGACTCTTCCATCAGGCTTTTTTGCAAGTCAGACAAATCACTCTCCAACTTTGGGTCGCGGTAGTACTGCAGCACCTCTTTTTCCTCAATGCGCTCCACTCCTCTGCGACTCTTCAGCGACATCATCCTGTCTCTAAAGGTTCTGAGTTCTAACTCAGCGTGACTTGTCCTGTCCCTCTCCTCATCCAGCTCTCTCATCAAAGTCTCCGTCTCTACAGCACTCCTTTGTTGGCTTTGCAGCTGCACTTGCTGCTGAGCCACCTGTTGAATCTTTTCCTCATTCTGCAACAGGAAAAAACACATTTATTTCTGTATCAATTTTCAGCCCAACCACTTTACTTAATGTATATACTGTATAATGTATATATATATGTATATAGAGTGTAATATTCCATTTAAAAAATCTGAAAAAGGTTGGGAGATGGTAAGTTATGGTATTGATAATTGCACTTCTACTAATTTCATTGTTTTCTTTTTATTATCTTACTTGTAAAACCAGATTCTTGGCCAAGTCCATCTGTTTTTGGCGTTGGGTGTTTTCAGCTGTGGCTTTAGCATAGCTGTTCACTAAGTCCTTTTCCTGGAAAAGACAGAAGGCAGAATCTTAAACATGTATAACAACCAAACTGATGTTTTCATCAGTGATTTTTGGTTGACTGTTTGGTTACCTCTTTCCGGACAGCATCAGAGAGTGTGAATGTTTTTGGTTTTGTTGGGATAGAAAGCCCATTCTCCTCCAGTGTACTGTTGTATTTATCAACATTAGTGTCATAGTCCTGAAGAGAAAGTGAGAAAATATAAGAAATTAGGAAATTAATTATGAGTAAGCTTTTATGTAGTTTTTAAGGTCTTTTTCAGTTTCAGTAGGTAAATCAGAGATTATGTAAAAAGTTACTACAATTATTACTGTTTGAAAGTAACATGATATCTTTTTTTTTTTTGACGGAATTTCATTCTTACATTGAATAGATTCTGCAGGTCCAGAGACAAATCAGATATGCGATCCATATCGTTCCCTTTCCTCTTCAGGTCCTCCACTACCCTCTGCAGCAACATTTATTTTTCAGTTTATTATCACTGTTAGTTTATGACAACATTTGAATGCAGTTTTACTACAGCAGCTTCTTAATTAGTAGTCAAAAGAAGATCTCACATCTTGGGAGCTTTGTTTGGCAGCAACCTGGGACACGTCATCATTGTAGCTGATCTGGTTTGTTGGCAGGCTGTTCAGAAAAGAGCTGAGAGACCTGGACGTGGCCTGGAACTCCTGGTTCTTGGATGCAGCTTCTTGTAAGATGCTTTCTCTGAAAGAGTGGTAAAAACACTTCATTATGTCACACTCAGATTGTTTCAGTGACGTTGTATTAAATTAGAATTCACCCCAAACTCCCTTTACCAGCAGCATAAGAATACTGGAATATTTATTGCCCTATGAGCAATCTTTAACCCATTAACATTGATTTTAACTACGGCTGTCAAAATTAACGGGTTTACCACAATAATCAATTAGTTAAAATAATTTGATTTTAACCCAAGGACATTTTTAGGATTTAAAAAGGTGGTATTTTTATTGAATGGCAACATTTTATTTAATCAATAAGTTACACTAACGGTGCTCACCTCTCCTTCAGCTGGTTGGCAACATTTGCGTATCGAGTCTGCAGCTGCTTCACGTCCGTTTTCTGGCGCTGGATGTCGGGGCAGTACTCCTGGTAGCCCTGCTGCAGAGAACTACACAGCTGCTCTGTGGTGTCCAGATCCTGACTCAGCTTCTTCATGTCGCCCTGAGCTGCTGTCACAGCCTTACGTTGGTACTGAATGAGCGAGAGGAAACACACATATAAAAACATACGTTAACACAGTGTGTTCTGTTTCTGTTTCTGGAGGACAGGGGGCAGTATTGCTGCAAGAAAAAGTTTTTTTTGGTAGATGAGCCAAGGAGATTGCAGTCACATAATCGTAGCCTGGAAGATCTCTTCCTCACCTGGATGTCGTCAAGATGGCTTTGGACTGCGTTCGGTAGATCAGGAGTCGGACCATCGTCACTTAGTTTCTTCTCAAATCCAGAAACAACACCATCTACCTTCTTAATTTGATTCTCCAGATTGAGGGAGGCGTTAGCTCTGGAAAAGGAATCATAATCTCAGAGATAGGCCTGCAGAGATCTTCAATCACCGTCCAAAGCACAGATATATTCCAGTACACATTCTCAGTCCAAATATACAACACTTACTTCTTGGTAAAGAGGTCAGCGAGTGCAACCATGTCGTCATACTTGTTGTTGGTGGCGTTTAGCTTGAGAGGCAGTGCAGAGGAGGTTCCGCTGGGGTCCTGGGACAGCAGAGGCTGGAGGTCGGCCTTAGCTGCCTGTCTCTGCTGCTCCAGAGCCTTTAGGGCCAAGGCAGCTTGCTGTAATTGAGAAAAAAAAGTAAATGTATGCTAATGAGCTAATAAAGCAATGGTAGAATGAAAGTTGGATAATATTTCAAGAACACAAAGTCTCTGACTTTTAAGAATAATAAAAATAATCGAATCTAAAGTAGAATATTTTCATGGTGTCACTGGCTTCACCTCTTGCTCCCTCAGTCTTTTGGCCAAGTCTCCAGCCGGGTCACTGCGGTTCAGTGGGGCTCGGAGGCGACTCAACATGCTCTCCTCGGCACTGGCCAAGTCGTTGTCCAAATTGTCCATCTGTTGGGCCAGGGCACTTAGTTTTGGATCCAGTGGAGCAGAAGATACTGGGGCTAGTCATAGGAAGATAGAAAAATAATTTAATTTTTTTTTTAATCTACACAGTTTGTACAAATACATGTACAGTATATTTGTTTGTGAAATAATTGGTTCATAAAATGTTTTTAAGAACTGCGTGAGGGAATTACCTGATTGAAGAGACCTGGATACTTCTGACTTGTGATTCTTCAGAGATGAAGCCAGAGTAGCTCTTCTTTTCTTGATGTCCCCAAGTTCACCCCCCAAACTGACAGAGAAACGAGAAAAGAGAGAGAGAGAGAGGCATCAGCATCAAACTTTTTTTTTTTTTGCCCTACAACTGCAGCTTCTCCTCACTTACAGATCGACCTTGGTGATGGCGTCAGGGTCAGGCGGTGGGATCTGGAAACAAACTCCTGGGAAGCTTTTAGTTTCTCCACTGGTGGAAATGACATTCCAGTTCTCGTCCGAATTTGATTTCAGGGTCAACCTCTCCCCTCGTAACAGAGAATCCTAAAATAAAATAAATGATTGATTTGATTTGATCATGCTTACTTTTTGTACTCGTTTAACATTATACTCTGATACACAGTATTGTGTCACTTTTTCACTTTGTCCTAATAGTACTACTTTACCTTGTTTGTTTCCCAGTCGCACAGGGACTCCACTGTGACGGACTTGTTGGGGGTGTTGCGTCTCAGCTTCAGTGGACAGATGGTGGTACTGCGTCTTCTCAGGTCGGCCAAAAGCTGCTCAGCGTTCTGCATGGTCTTCTCTTCTCTCTGACAGTGTGGAAGGGCACAGGAACAAACGGCCTCAGACGTTTAGTCCAGCTACTGCATCAGAACTTCAAATTTAAAAAACTAGTGTCATTTTTCCACTGTGGTGGAAAGTGAAATACATCATCGCCAAACCCCAGCAATAGCATTGCACCCCCTAAGGGTCATGCTGCATTTAGCTGTGGCTAATCAGAGGGAAAAAACTGATCTGATTTCTTTTTGCCAAAACCTCTTTCAATCTGTTGAAATGATCCATTTTACAAACACAAGAGAAACAAACACTGTAGGTGCCTTTGAATTATTGTCTCCATCTCTTGTAACACTTTAAAAATATTTCCCTCCTTCCGTGACCTGACTAATCTTTAAAGAGATTTAAACTCAAATTTTATTTTCCTTTTTTCAGGTACCTCAAGCTGCAGCAGTGTCTCTGAGTTGGTCTTTTTGCTGATGGTCTTGGGGTCCAGGCTGTTGTTGAGTTTGGTCAGTGACTCTGACAGTTGATCCGTGTCCATTTGGTACTAGACAGAGACGAACCAAATATGGTTTAACATATGATGAAAATAAAAAAACAAAACAAAAAAACCCCACTTGAAATCTGTTGATTCCGTACTCACTCTTTTAAACTCCTCCACATTGTCCAGATGAGTCTCTTGACAAATGCACAGATTGAGGAATTTCTGCCACTCGTTCCTCACTGCATCTCTCTGAGTCTGTAATGTTAGGGGCCAGATTTAACTAGGGACGTCCAATGTTGGGTGACTTTCACTTTAATATACAGTTCATCCCCAAACTATTTTTAGGGCTCACATTATTTGGCGAAACCCAGGCTTTGCGGTATCAGGTTTTCATTATCAGAGAAAAAAGTCTTACAGATATCGTGCAGCCGATATTATCGGACATCCCTAGATTTAACATTAAAACAGGAGTCATTTAAATGTAGGGCTTTTGTTACAGACGAGGAGTTGTGACCTGTATGGTGGAGCTGGCAGGATGCTTCAGTTCCACGAGTCGGTCTCCTTCATCCTGGAGTTTGTTCACCTCGCTCTCATGGGACAACAGGCTGTTGTTCTTAAAATTCTGTTTAAGATCAAATCGAACAAAGTTGATTATTTACCCACTCGACAACAAACAAAAGATATTTTTGAGATGAGTGACATAATTTAGTCTGAAGTCTTCTATCAGTGGTTTGAAACCCCGTCCCTCCTGACCTCGTACTGCCTGCGCACATCATTTGGGTCCACCATGCGGTCACTCCAGTCCTGCTTCTGGATCTTGTTCTGCTCATCCGCCAGAAAAGAAAGCTCCTTGTTGCAGCCGTGCATGTATTCATACAGGCTGTTCAGGTAGTGCCGGCGCCACTTGGATTTGTCCTGCAGAAAAAAAAGAGAAAAGAATTGAAGACCAAGTTTAATTTAATTACATTTAATTAAATTAAAAAACCTAGAGTTACACCCGTACTTTGTTCTTGACTCAAATGTTGGAACTCACCAGTATACTGTTGTACTCCTTCTTCAGGGTCAGGTAATTGTCCTAAAACACAAGACAACAACACCTGCCTTAGAACATTGTTTCCCAAAGACTGGGTCACGACCCTCAGGTGGGTCGCAAGAGGGTTTTTTTTGGGTTGTCTCGCATCATGTTTCCCAGGAGTTCATGAATAATGTCTATTGTCTTGGGTAGGTAGGTTTGTGACCATGGGTCCCCAGAAAAAAAGTTTGGGAAACACTGCCTTAGAAACAATGTTTCCAGTGATCAGTGAGATCGGCCCATGTTGTTGGTGCAAACTGTGGCCACCCAAGTCATGAGGTGACGTTACTGGACTCTCGTTTAAACACTGGTGTTTACCTTACTGCCGGCGGAGCTGACATTGAGCTGTGAGTTGTAGGCCTCGATCTGCTTGTGCAGGATGTTGTGGGAGGCGATCTGCTTCTCCAGGTCCTCCATGCTGGGGCCGTACACCTCCGAGCTCAGCTGTTTCTGTCAGACAACGCAGACAGGAGGAGAATGTCAGCGTTGGTATGCACACGGCAGGACAGAGAGGCCTGTAATCAGCTCCGCTGATGCCAGACACGGGCTGAGCCAACGTGCTGATTACAGGAGAGTGAGAGTCGTAAAAGCTGGATGATGACAGAAGGTTTGTATGACTGTGACAACTATGTGTGGCATGGATTTCTGTCAAAACAAATATGTGTGTTTTCTTATAATAATTGCAACACATTAATCAATCATCTTTGTAAACATCCATCCAAAATTAAATAGAATCACTTACTTGCTTCTGATTTTGTAAACATCCATCCAAAATTAAATGAAGTATTTTAAATAGAATCACTTACTTGCTTCTGAACAAACACGGGCTTCCAGTCGATTCTGGGCATCAGCGACACGTCGTCAATCTGTTCGTAGATGTCACGGTAGAAGCCGCAGTCCTTCAACCAGCGTTCGTGCAGGCGGATAACACTGGAGTCGCAGGGAAAGAAAGAAGAAAAACTGATGATAATAGTCAATTTGGGTGTTTAACGCCGCAGTCAATGATGAATTTAGCTAATTAAATGGATGAAAATCTAATTTATGATTGAACACAGCTAACATGAAAAAAAAAATCTCTTAAATCATTTTAAAATTTTAGATGTAATCCCAGGACGAACTGTTTTTGTTTTCATTTATTTTTAGTGTAGAATTTTCACCTAAGTTAAGTCAAGCTTTAATAAGTGAACCATGTTTGTTCAGATCAGACCAGGCACAGCAGGGTTTCCCGTGCATTTTTAACTCACTCATTCTCTATCTCTCTGGCCTGTGGATGTTTCAGCTTCTTGGCTTTGTCCAGGTCCAAAAACAGGTCCCTGAGCAGACCTTCAGCCTCGCCCAGTTTGTCTGAGATCATAGTCTGATGCTGAAACGGCAGCTCCTTCTTGTCGTTTTCTGCATCCTGTCGGAAGAGGATGAAAGTGGAACAGGTCAACTTTGATATCTGTCAGTGAAGTAAATGACAGTCTGTCATTTACTGTTTGTTTTTTCTCACCACAGCCAGGAGCTCTTCTGCCCGCAAGACATCTTTCTCCACCTGGTCGGCATTCTTTTGCATCTGAGCGATCAGCAAGGCCAGGTTACTGGTGCTGGTCCTGTGAGGGTTGGGGCAAAGAGGGACATTTTTAATTTTTAATTTCATTTTGTTGTTTGTTTTGGTCCAAGATCCTTGACCCAACATCAAACAAACTTCAGGACACCACAAGTGTTTATATTCATAAGTACAGACATGATGTGGAACCGGTTCAACAATTTTTTTTTATAATTTTCACATAGAAAACAGAATTCTTATCAGTGCGATCTGTTTCATCAAGATGAAAAAACCTGCCCCGTAGCCCAGGGCCCTCTGCTGGAGGTCAGCCTGCGGATGTGTCGTTCTCACCGTGCCACACCTTAAAGCATTTCTGAAATGTGACAAATTCCTGCGCACCTGTCACTCCCTCAGCCTCGCTGTGCATTTGATAACTCTGAGTGTTTACCTGAGGAAACGTCGACATGAACTGCACCCATAAACCTCAGCAGCGGCTCAGACTAGAGCTGCAAAATCAAGGTGACGTTAGACGTGGTGCAAATGTTGACCGAATTGACCGTTTCTGCATTGACTTAATGATGATCGTTGAGTCCCTGACATTTTAAACATAAAAACCTGTTTTCATGTTAACGTTGAACAACAGGAGAAGCAAATGACTCATTTTGGATTTCCAGTGCAGACAGAGTGTTAACATGGCTGTGAGGAGAAGGTGAAAAAAGCAACAAAAAAAGAACCAAATAACTTTATATTTTTCTGTGTAAAAACCCCATAAAAACACAATGTGTTTCCATCAGTCCTCAGCATCTAAACCTCTGAATATCAATCAGGTATAACATTTAAAATCCGCCGGTGTGTCAGAGTCTCAGCTCTGTTGGCCCACATACCACTGTCAACTCAGAGGACAGAGACGTGTCTCTGAGGGAGGGGAGAGGGGGGGGTAAACAGATGTCACTTTGATAAAGGTTTACACAAGAACCTAAAAACACAGTTCACACTCTGAGGAATGTGGAAAACCTGCGCTGAATCCAGGAGGGGGGCGGGGAGGGGGGGGGTTAATCTGGTTCTTCAACTGCTCTGACAATGGACTCCCTATTTCTGCTCACTCAGCAGGAGGGACAGGTATGACTGACACACACACACACACACACACCACTTTTAAATGAGAATAAAGATTCTCTCCTCATCCTTGTTCTGTGACGACCGACTCTCATTCACTTGACTTTTCTGAAGTCGATGGTGATTTAAATTTTTAAATGTGTAACTCGTTTCTGCAGCACAGAGGCATCAGGTGTTAGAAACTGTATTCCTGATTACAGAACAACCAAAAAACACCCAGAAAGAGTGGTGGTCAGTGGAAGACATCTTTGTCTAAAGAATCAAATTAATTTATATGTGTTGAACAAAGTTCATTGTTTCGACTCCTATAAAAGTCTACCTCTAATAAAAAGGTGTGACGGTTTTTACTGAAAGAATTCGTCTTGTGCTCTAACATACCAGACATGTTTATCAGTCAATACGGTTGGACGTTTGGATTCAATCTGAGAAACAGCCTTGGAAGAGGTGTGACTAATCTTTAGTCTTGGAAAGTTTAAATTATTTCTTCAACTTTTTCTTTTAAATTTTGAATAAAAAGTATTATTTAAGAAGAAAATCTTGGATTCTTTTCTGATTTATTAGATATTTTTTACTTTTTTAACCCTAGGTATTTAATTTAAAATTTAGTTTTCTCATTTGAAGTTTTTTTTTAACTCAAAACTCCAGGGAAAATGGCAATAGGTCAAACATGTCACCAAGGACGTCAGGTCTCCTTCATCCTGTCCAGTCAATGACATTTTTTTCTCTCATAGCTCAAGAAGTTGAGTGACAGGTCACACCCACACATGGTGATTGATCTGTGTGTGTGTGTGTGTGTGTGTGTGTGTGTGAGGCCGTGGTTGTAGTGTGGCATGTTAGATATGTAGTTAAATCAACTATCACCAAGTATCGTGGAGACCTGTACTACACTTAACGTCAATGACCGAATATTCCTGCCTTTATTAGCTTCACAGTTGCTAAAGATGCAACTGATGAAGCTAATATAAAGCAACATGACATGGATGAAAAAAACTACAACAATGGCTGACCAGATGAAATTAGAACGCCTTATATTATCGCGCCGGACAGAACATACATCTATAACAACGTCGTGATCGAATCTCATTTCCTGAACAGTGTGTGATCAATGACGAGTTTTTACCGGATTTGAATTATTTTTCCTGTTTTGATTCTATCATCTTTGAGAAATGTTTTGTTGACAGGGAACATGAGAGATTTGGTGATTCTTCTCCCTGTACACAGGATCGTCACGGCATAAAGGTCTGTGATCGAGTAACTGCAGGCGTGTCCTCCACGGTGACTCACCGCACAGAAGAAGTTGACCTTACAGCATATCTGCAGCTCAGTCCTGCCCTTCCATGTCTCCTATTCTTTTTATTAAATCACTAACACACACAGTGCAGTCGTACACCAGGTTTGACCTGGGTGTTGACAGCAGGTTGTTCTGTTCAGTCCAATCATTCAAATGAATCAATCCAGTGTAAATGTGTGTTTTAATCACAGTAATTACATCTAATGAACCACTGGAGTCGTCCTTCTTTCAGACACATTAAGCTTAAATTGCCACTAGCAGCGATCGGCTTCACACTGTCCATGTAAACGGTGATGGAAATTCCTGAGCGCTGTCACTCCGTCTGAAGTACAGCTCAGAACCAACGCCCACATCAGGCACAGAAACCACCCTGCCCTCCTCACCACACAGAGCAAAGGGCGAGGGAGGTGGGGGGGCGGCAGGGTTCCACCTGTCTATGGAACCATGATGGTTTATTGATAATAAAGAGTTTGGCCAGGACATCAACATCAGCCCCCTCTCCACCTACAGTCAGATCTACAGTACTGCGTTGTTTTGTCTTTTATTAATTCACAACAACAACACAAGGACAGAGAACTTTCTGATCATATCTTTCGCTGACGTATCACAGCGGGCTGAACGGACAGAGAACTTTCTGATCATATCTTTAAACTTCATAGTCATATCATAAAAACGTTTATACGTGAAAATGTAGGCTTTGTCTCCGACCGATGAACCGACATCCTGGAATGTTTCAGATTGAAAGGGACTTTGTTCTCATCAAGTGGTGAAGACATTTTTTTTCAGTTTTCACCTGTTGTTTTTCACAGACCTCACGATGACAATGTAAACATGACCTCAGGCACTGGCAACACTTCAACGAGCAACTTAGAAATCAACTTTAACCTTTTTAACTTAGAGCTGACAAATCAAAGCACCTGAAGGTCAGGATAGATTTAATCTCAAATCTTCTGTTTTGTATTGGTTTTTTTTTTTCAGCCGAGCTGTAACATAACAAGCTCCAGCCCAAAGAGAAAGAGGACAGAAAGAACAAGCACAGGAAACTTGACACATTTTCTCAAATCTAGAAGAACAGCAGAGGGGGGGCCTGACCGAGATACACCGTCGGCACACACACACACACACACACACACACAGACACACGCACAGAGATAAACACTCACATTTGTAAAGACATCCATCCATCCATCCATCCATCCATCCATCCATTCATTCATTCATCCACACATGAACAGCTGTTTGTGGTGAAAACACTCACTTGGTGCTCTTGCTCAAGCTGTCGGAACTTTCCTTTTTCTTAAACATCCTGGAAGTTGTAGTGGGTCACGCCGAGATCCCACAGAAATCTCTCTCTCTTGGGTCTTATTCCGTCTCTGCCTCTGTCTTCCTCCTTCCCCCTGGTTCCTACCCAGGTATCTCAAACATACACATGTTCACATCGGCACAGTGTTAAGCGATGGCAGCTCCTCCCAGCAGGGTCAGCAGGCGTGTCGCCGCCCAGACATCCATCCTGCAGAACCAGACCGGAGCAACCTGTTCCTCCACACTCTCCCTTTCTCCCTCCTCTGCTCCTGCCCTCCCTATTCACTCAAGTCCTGATACACAGCAGCAGCAGAGGACCTTTGATGGACTGAGAATTCCTGCAGTAGTAAAACTGAATACTTGAGGTATAATCCCAGAGATATAAAATATAAATGGGAGGGGGTGGAGGGGAAGGGGTCTAGTCCATGACAGAGCCACATATAGAGATGAACAATTGTTTTCATTCATAAAGAGTGAAGAACTAACCTAATCCATAATCTGTTCTCCAGGCTAACTGGAGAAAACACTGCCACACACAGGGAGAATGTGGAAACTACAGACAAAAAAGGTCATCGTTACCACCGGAGCTCAAACTGTTGATCATCTCACAGTCAGGCAAAAAAAACAAACTCAATCTTCACTTGGATCGTCGTGTCAGAGGACATTTTAATTCATCATATTATCAAGAAAAAAAAAAGGGATCTGGTTCTGGGGATTAGGTGGACTCAAACCCAGAGACTTGTACAAGGCAGGCAGGAACCGTTCCACTGCATCAATCTAGTGCCTCGTGTTGATCATCATATAAGGATAAGTGAAGGTATTTTTGAGGGAGGGATTTATTTGGAAATAAAATGAAAAGTCATCTTTGAGGTTCATGATTTTTTTTCAATTTGGTGCAGAACTAAACTTTTAAATCACTAATTGAAACCAGTTGAGTGAAAACACTGAAAATCTTCACTGAAGTCCAGTTGATGGTATATTTATATTATTTGACCTCCTCTTCTATTTGTGATCTCCACCCAACTACCAACTCCCTCACCCTCTAAGATCCCTTCTACACCGAGCTACATGCTAAGAACCTGCATGTCCTGTGTGTTTAGCCAACAGTGTGACGGCCTGTGGCCCAGAGAGGACGTCACTCGCAGCACAGAGACACGAGGTCCAGTGTTAAAGAGACAAATGAAGCCCAGCAGCAGATTAACTGTGTGCTGTTGCTGCATCACCAGACATGACGGTCATTCAGGATCAGGGCGTCTCTGCTGCATATCAACAATAGGAAATCATGGTGAGGAATGCAGCAGGGCCGCTTTCTGTGGACGGAGCCAGGAGCAGCACAGGCAGCACACGGCCGTGCTGCGTTCACTGTCTCACTCAGGCATAACTCTGTCTCTGTCTGAGGGCGTCCACCACAGGAGTGGGCGTTTTTATTTCGTGGTTGTAGGAACTGTTGTCCACAATGACAGTTCACACACCAATAATGACTGAAATACAGCAGGGATGTAGAGCGGGGGTGTCAACGTCAAAGTCACAGTCGGCCAAAATTAAAAACTGGGACAAAGTCACACGACAGAGTTAATATTTGTTGAAAGATTGACGCCATTGTTTTGATCACAACTAATCATGATAACAACTAATCATGATCACATGCACAGCTATCCTGTGATTATTGGCTTACCAATTAAAATCTTTTCGCAGCCTAATCATATACACATCTTCGTCGTACGTAAGTACGTATATGAACAAGATATTTCTGGAATTTCAAGATATATCTTGTCCTTTTAAAAGAAAAGTGGACTTAGAATAATATTGAAAAAATAAATTTGACTTTACGACTGTTTCAGTCTGGAGTTAAAACCCTATCAAATGGCTAACACACATACATATCATAATTATGAATTATAATATACAGCCTGGAGCCCCTGCTCTGGGCTCCAGGCTGTTGTCGACACTGTTACAACATTCCTGACACCCCCAGGTTGACATGCTCAACTCTCTGACCCATTCACATTACAGCTACATGTTCTCGTTCTCTGACTGTCCTCAACTCTGACTCCGTAACTCCATCTCCATCTTTGCTCCTCCGATCTTCACACACTCGTCCAAAACATCACAAAATTCCAGAATTCTTTAAACTACACTTTATTGACATCACCTGAAGTAACTTCTTCCATTAGTGACACAGTTCTGACTCCACCTCGACACCACCCTTCACTTCAACTCCTCTTTCCACAAATATACTTTAAAACCCTGTTCTACAGGTATTACCAGGTATAACTTTTGTTATACCTTTTGTTATACCTGTTTTCCAACTGAACTCTTTATCAGTTTGAGGTCATTTTCCTGTTATATTAATCACAGCAGTGATTATCCAACAGAGAGACCATACATGTGAGGGTGTGTCAGTCTTTACCACACACCGTAGACAAACATACCTTTGTCGTCTGCTTTAGTCACTTAATATTATAGTTTACATAGAACGGTGTCCTTTATTCTACACTGGTTTCTTTATGTAACTCTGTAAGAGACAACGTCGTCATTTAAACCACATAAAGATAAACCACACTTCTATGTTGTCAAGGGAGGAGATATGCAACAGTCAACCTGCTGGGCTCAAACACAAAACACTTCACAGAAGTTTTCATCATAAAACTCAGAGTTAGATCCAAATTTATATATATTTTTTGTGCATCCCTGGCTGTTTTGACCACAACTTCCTGTCAATGACTCGCATCAGGAATTCAGTCACTCTGAGGCTAAATACCAGAATTATCCAGCAGTCAGCTTGATCTTAATAATACTGTTGGATGAAGAGGTGAAACATGTTCCAGAAACCAAGACAGTCCAGTTGAAAATACCTTCATAATAATAATTATCGGTGGTGTGCGTGTGGGTGTACAGTGGAGATCAATGTTGTTATTGATCAGAGGTGACTGTCAGGTTGTGGAGTATTTTTAAAAAAAATTATCATCAAACACACCTACATAATTACAGGAAAATGCATATGGGTAAAATAGACCTAAACAGCAGCCACACCCTGCTGAGGCATCCTATGCACTCCTAACACACCCACAGTGGGGCAGACACCCACATCAACAGTCTCCTCACTGGGTTTTTTTACTATCTAATTCCTTAAGGATTATTATCAGATTTCAGTCTCATCAAATAAACATTGAACAACAGAGTGTGTCTCTAATCCAGCTCTAATGTCCAATGTGCAAACTTCCAAACACCACTTGCTGCTGTCGTGCAGATCACTGCATTTTTGACTCAGAAAACGACAAAGTAAGTGTTTGATGCAAATATATTTTAATAATTAAGCTGAGAACTAAATTCACTCTGATCATACATCACTGTTCATGTTGTTTACAATAATTAAAGGTTCTCTATGTTGTTTTGAGGTGACCAGCTGGAACTCCTCCAGCGACTTCGTATTCATTCATTCATCCATCCATCATGAAAGCCACAAAAAAGATTCATTAGGTTTAAAAGGGGAAGCATGAGTGGGCGGAAGAACAGTCCGTGTCAGTTTCACCAGCTTTTCAGGAACAAAAAAAAAAACATCTGATATAAACCGCATTATTAAAGATGGAGTAAATGATCAGGTCGGATTCAAATCTGTGCTGTTGCTGTTTAACAACCAACGACGCGGAGACGTTGATGACGTAACCTTCACAGACACAGGTGGTGGTGAGAAGAATGGAAGGTCATTTAACAATATCATCTGGATACAAGGTTAAACCGTTTTTAAAATAAATAATTCATCAGTTCATTTCTAAGGTTCTACTCTACTACATGATTATTGATGAGAAGATCCATGGAAATGTGAGGGGATGTTAAAAACTTAAAAATCTGCAGGATTATTTGGACATTACAGACTGGTCCCTGGACTTTGTTTATCCTTTTCCTGCTAATGCTGCTCCAACTGTCCAGAGTCTCCCAGTTGTCATCTAAGTTAAGAGCTGGACAGATGTGGAGTACAACATAAGACGCTTCTTTTCTATGGTCCACTTTGCACCACCTTTGCTGTAGTGTGCTCCCCATGCCGCCCCCCCGCCCCCCCCTTGAAGCACCTGTTTCTAGGGATGGCTCCATACTATATTTCCATGTCCGATACCAATACTGCAACTTAGAGTATCTACCGATGCCAATATCAATCAAACACCTTTTCTCCTCCACTGGCCCGCGGTCTGCCGTTGCTGAGGCATTACTGTCCCTGTTCACCGTATGCCGCACAAAGTTAGTTCAGCATTTGTGCTCAGATCGGTTCAGACAAGCTGTAGTTGTTCCTTTTCAATAAGCGATCCTAAAGTTTTGACCAATGCTGATCCTGAGTAGAGGATCGTGCCATCCCTAGTTGTTAGTAAATGAACTGAAATGACTGAAGACAGAGAGCAGGTCTACAGCACATTCACCGTAGAATGACAGATGTTAGCTAAGGTGGAGAACATGATCCTCATCCTGATGGAGGGATTAGCTGCCGCCCACTGATCGTCAGTCAGTTCAGGAGCTCAGAAAAGACCGCACTTTGTAATTTAGACCAGTCTTCAACAGACACAGAGGCAACACAAACACTAAGAAGGGATGAAATTAAGGCGATGAAATTAACAATGACAAAAAAAAACAGTGTTGTGATTGGAGCCAAACACACTGTTGAGATTGAGATGAAGCTCTTGGCTGTGGACCTTACCGCTGTGGTATGACAACCTGTAAAACTAGAAAAGTCAGAAACTCCTCCACGGCTCCGGTGCCATCAGTGACGGAGCTGAAACACTGGGAAACAATGCAGCCTGTTGCTGTCATTAAAGGTAACTGGAGGACTCAGGTCTTTATTATCGATCTAATGGGATTTCATTTTTTTTTATCTAATCTTTTCTTAAAGCTTAAGACTTTCGGCTCCTCCTCAGAACTGCAAAGTTCAAGTTGCACCACAAATTAAAGTAATAATAATAATAAAAAATTGACTACTGAATCAAGTCCACCTGGTTGAAGCTTAGACCTTGTGATTCTCTGGTTGGGTTAAAGACCAGGGTTTGACTTAGCTGCCAAATCCAAAAATGCCCTTGATATATCCGGTCAGACCGCCCTTGCCCTTCTGCTCCACCTTGTCGTCCAGTGGTGGGAAGGCCACATGGTTGAGAGCAAGGTCAAAGAACAGGGGCTTACAAGGGATCGGCTGGAAGTCGGGAGGAAACTGGACCAGATTGGGATGTTTTCCAACTAGGGTGGGGTCGATGCGGAAGTTGTCCAGGTGTTCGCAGAGAGGCTGAGGAGGAGGAAGAAGTCAGACTCAGCCACTGGTTAATCCACTTTGACTTAAAACAACAAACATATTCTTGGAGTGTTCTTACCGTGTTGTCTTTCACCTGCTGCTGAGTTGGAACCTCAGGGGTCTCATCAGTGTCTGAAACACAAACATGTTAGGATTCCACAGACTGAAGCAGAGCAGACGACGACTGTGCTGCAGGATCTTGAATAAATGCATCATGGGTCTAACAGACTCCACACATTCAGAAGTAACAGTTAAAGCAGCTGTCATCTGGTTGACCTACCTAAGATGGCAGCCGCCTGAAGTGAATACTTCTCTGCATTGACCTCGGCGATCAACTCCTGAACATCAGGAAGATCCTACAGGAGTTTACACATGATGTTAATGAAACTATTACAGTTTTTATTTTACAATTGTCTGCTTCACTGACCACGACTGGAACCAACCTTGAGACTGTTGTTAAGGCTCTTGGATTTAGACTGAACCTCTTTGGCATATTTCAGCACTCGCTCATACAGAACCAGAGCCTCACTCCACTTCTTCACCAGCACATAAGACTGAGCGATGAAGAAACACCTGTCAAAGGAAAAAAAAAGTATTAACTATCTGCATTTTTGCTTTAGTTCCTGCCTGGGGAAATAATGTAGAAATCTTTCAGATTATTGTACTCGAGAGGTTTCGTGAGGTCAACTGATAAGATAAGGTAAAGCTAAAACAAAAAGAAAATGTGTGACCTGTAAGCCTTGTAGACCAGAATCTTGAGGGACACCTCCTTCTGGAAGATGTGGTCGTCCTCCAGACCCTGCAGGGTGGAGAGCTCGGCCAGACTCTACACAAAACGACAAAGGCAGCATTTTTAACAAATATCATTATAAAGACTGAAAAATTTAAATTTGAGGTGCTGTAATAATAAAAAATATTCATTTCTAGATTTTGGATTTCGTGACAAGAACAGGATTTACTTTGAACCTCCATTAAAGTATTTAGTGGAGCCACTGGTTCTAAGTAAAATGCAGGTTTTTACAGATTTTCATGTTAATCTTAAACATCACAAATCTCAAAAAGATCCTAACATTTGTTGAAACTACTTTAGACTATACAAGCTAAATGATGAACGCCGGGCCGTACCTGCAGGATGATGTCATAGAGGCGGATCAGGTCCTGTGGACGAGGACCCCTCTTGCTCTCGTCAGTCACAATCTCTTTCAGTTTAGCCTGGAGAGCATGAGCCATACACTCATTCCTCTTCACCAGAGTACACAGCTTGATGTAGGTTAGGTAGCTGAGAGAACAGAGCACAGCACGTCATGGTCCCACCATCTTTTCACACAGAAACAATCACTTAAAATGACCTGATCATCTGGTTGTGAACTGCTGTGGTGTCTGCCCTCAGCATGTAGAGACTGTACTGTGCACGTGTGGTTAGTGTGCCTTTGTTTTATTTCTTTGAACCACACAGGTTGTGATGATAATATTATAAAATGATGGAAAAAGTTGTCTAAAACTGACATCTGCAAACAGGGTCAAATATAGACTAATGTTGGGCAGTAACTGATTTATAATAATGTGTTACTGATTGCCAGTGATTACAGGTCAGGTCATAGCACATGTTAAAGCTAAATGTACAGTGTAATGAAGGCTACTAGAAACTGTGGCAGTTTGGAGAACAAGTTATTAGTTATTTCCCAGTGACCACCATTTCTGGGTCAATTCTTTTCATTTAAATCAGCTTCAACAGTCTTTTTTACCTGTGCAGGAACTGCAGGTTCGAGGTTTTGCCACAGTCGCCCTCATTGCTCCTCTCCCGCTGTTTCTACAGAGACAAGCAATTAAAAACAATTCTGTTAGTTAAATGTTAATCCCCCACACCCTCCTCGTGGCCCATCCATATCAGTCATCTTACAGCTTCACTCTTCAGCTCCTCTCTCACAGCCTGGATGGTATCCCTGCACTCAGCCAGCAGGGTCTCATACAGATGCTCTTTGGTCTCCTCATTGGCAGCCTGCACAAAAGAAGGATGATTTTAGATGGTAGTGTGAATACTGCAGTTTGGTGTACTTGAGGTTACGGCTCTTCGCCTGCTGTACACTACTGTGTAAACATGGTGCTCACACTCACACATACTTCAACATCAATGGGAATACTTGCTTCAGGAGGAGCATGTGTTGAAGAGATTACTATAGGAACACTCAAGTGTAACTGTTTGAAGGATCAAATCAAAGTTGTCTATAGAAGAAGTGACAGGTTGCACCGATGACCTAAACTGAACTCACACTTACTCACAACTTCCAAATGAAAGAACAAAATGAAAGAACAATTATTAGTATAGACTTAATTGTTTGCATGCACCGATGAGTAGTAGTAAGAGTAGTACTACTACAAAAGGGCACCAGTTTAATGAAGCAGCAGCAGAGGGGGAAAGACTCAGGTATGTGGCTCAGCAGGTTGCAGATGGATTCCGGCACACAGCTCGTCAGTAATCAGACACTGTGGAGTTTCAGGGTTCAGATCTTTGTCAAAGACAGGACTGTTGAGCACCTCACCTCCCTTTCTCTGAAAACACTCGCACAAAAGCCCTCTGCTAGTATGGGATATTCTATTGTTGATACAAGTATGTGTTGAAAACAGGGCTAAGTGGGATTAGAGTAGAAGGGGGAAGTGTCAACGATTCGGCTTCATACAAAATGCACGTACGTTGTATATTTTTTTTAAATTGCTGAACTCACGCCAGTGAAAGGACGTTGGTGATACACCTGCACGTTTAAAGAGGAGCACAGCAGCAGAGGAATGTTACGAGAAAATTCCTCATGATAAATGGTAACGGATCAAACCTGACAGAGGAGAGGAGAGGGGCATGTGCTGATACTCACCTGTGCCAACTCCCTGGCCCCGCCCTTGTATTAGCTCAGCTTGTTCAGTGTCTAATGCCGCAGAGAATGAAGAACTGAGTAGATGGACTGATTAGAACTGGACGAATAAAGTCTTCAAACACCTCAGGCAGAGCTCATTCTTATCTACTGGAGTGAAAAATGTTACAATCTCTAGATGTTTACTGTGTCAAAACCATAAGAGCCAGATAATGAGCCAATAACCAAAGAATGGAGATGCTCAGAGATAACACCCTGCAGGTCTGTCCACAGAGACCTGCAGGGTGTTGTCCTGTATTAATGTGCGAGCATAAAATGCACAGAATGCAGTCGAGCGGTGAGTCGTTCAACATGCCAGAGAACTGAGTGACTGCGGGTGTGATAGGTGTGTCTGCAGGGTGTGTTGAGCCTTTGTTGGCCGAAAAAGCAGGAAGAGTAAGCCGTGGCGATACCAATGGGATGTTTTAGACACACAAGAAGAGGGCGCCACCTACTGAAAGTGTTAAATGAACAGGTACAGGGATGTGACTCAAAACCAGAAGCACAAATCTCCCTGTAAGGTGTGTTAAACTCAAACTACCCACATGTGCATACACACAACTGAAAGCATTTGTATTTTTTAAATTCATCACTGTCCATGTGTGTAAAGAAGTTTCTGCTCAGCCACTTATTCCTGCACTCCACACACCCACATTCAACCACAGAGAGTCATCACTAAACAGCTGCTGGTTGTTGATGTTGAATGAATCAGCTGAGGGATGTTTTTGTGACACGTTGTAACTTTAAAGTGTAAGAAGAAATGCTGGGGAAAAAAATCCAGGATGACCAAGCAATGGTTTCAGAAGTCCAGAGGTCCAGTGTCCTACTTTTTCCAAAGCAGTTGTACCTTCATGAGCACCAGCAGCATAGCAGAGGAAAATACAGGCAGCAGTGACAGTATCACAGATGATACAGTTCAGTTTCATTTACTTCCGACTCTCTTTTGAAGTGGAAAGGAGGTGAAAGATCTTGAATAACAACAATGGAAGAGGAAAAACTAAGTCACAGGGCTTTAAACACACCCTGCAGTGACATGTCACCAGAGGTATGAAACGGTCCAATACTCTGACAACAATACGGCTAAAGATAAAGTATAAAATTAAAAACACAACATAACTTTTAGTCCATGATATCCAGCGTGACACAACTGTAAAACCAAAGCTTTTAGAAATGATGATAATGAACAGAGCTTTTTGTAATATTGACATATTAATAATAATAATTTACACCATCAACACACTACAAACAGCAACTCACCTGAGTTATAGCAGCCTCGTTGTCCGCAAGACCCAAAAGAAAGATGCGGGCCTTGTCAATCTTGACCGGCACCGTGCGCCCTCGCCATTCCACTTCACTCATAGTGGCTGCCTGTTTGGTTCTTGCCTGTGTGATCAAAGTCTGAGAAGCACAAGAAAACAATAATAAAAAAAAACATTATAGTTAGCCAGAGAATATTTTATTTTGTCCTAGATTATATTTTCTCAGAGATAATTGGCAGATATTATTATATTTTACCAATGATTATACTGGAGACAATAGCATTAATACTGAATGCTTCTGCTGACATGCATGCTGACTGATTACTTTTGCACATCTACCTCCAGCTTTTCAGCCATCATTCCTCCTCCACCTCCAGTCAGTCTCATCTGCATCAGGTCATTGATGGCGTTCTGGTCACCTGCAGTCAGGGAGGGGAATCCAGTTACATTGTGTGTAAAGAATTAGACTTTTGGACAATAATTTTTCAGCTGAACAGTATATTTGCTCTTGTAATGTTATTTAATAATAACCAATATTGTAGGCGCAGTAGCGGATGTTTGGTGATATCTCTTCAACCCGCTGGCAGTACTGAATGGCCAGCTCCTCGGTGAAAGCACTTGCTAGTTTCTCATAGATAGTCCTGAAAAAAAAAGAGAAATAATTAAGCACACAATAATTAAAAATCAACACATTACCAAAAAAAACCTATGTGCTTATTCTACTAATTCATTTAGAGAAACACCTCCATGAACTCACTTGCATTTGTTGAAAGCTTCCATAGCACGTTTCCATTCCTGCAGTTCAAACTCCACCATGCCAGTGAGATATGCAGTGTAGGCCTGAAATCATTTACACAAGTTATTGTCAGAATTACAATTTTCAATACACCTCATGTTACGATAATTTGAGAACAAATTTGAAAAATATGTTATTTTAATTATTCTACAAACATCAATAACAAAGCATATGTTTAATAGTAGTGTAAAATACTACTACACATAATAGTGTAAAATAATTTAATTAAAGATTATTTATGAAGCGACATTTACATTTGTATCATTCACTGTATTTACTTGTACTGGTCAGTGTTTGGTCATGAGTACCTGTGCCTCCAGTTTGGTCTTGGCATCAACACGGGGGCTTTCACAGAGCTTCTCCAGCTTCTCACTATGCTTCGCAGCCTTGCGCAAACGTGCGAGCAAGTGGAATCGTTTACGTGGCTCTGTATTGGCCTCTTGTTTCAGCTGCATGGCGTAGCTCCACGCCCGCTCTGCTTCCATCAAAACCAACAACAGATATCTAAAAGGGGAGAAAAAAAATCATCATTGACAAAGCCATTAAGACCAATCACATTGACAATAAATCATTAATCCCATTAGTGTTCAGTAGTCAAATTCAGACATGACAGTCATAATAGTCCTCTAAACATAAACTAGAGAACCTGCTAATGACTTCAGATTATCACCTGCTGTCAGAAAGCATCTCCACATTTATTTTCTTCCCAACAAACTTGTGTCGGTTCCCCATCTTGAAGCCAAGAGTCTTACGCAGGCGACGAAGCCTGCGGGAGCAGTAACCCCTAGAAATATTGAGAAAAAATGTACAAAAATTAAACTTTCAAAACACAAAACTAACCATAAAATCAGACACATCTGAAGAGGTAATACTGATGCTGTGTTTCATTGTTGACAAAGTGTTTTTTTAATTATAAATAAACAGCTGTACACTAAGCTTTAGACAAGTATTGACCAGTATTGAGTAAGTGTGAAGCTCAACAGCCTCGTATGATGTGATTGCCTTTGGTTTTTCAAAGCTGTCTGTTGAAAACCATATGTTCACTCTCCACTATTAAACAAGAATTGAATGCACAATACAACAATTTAATACAAACATATTATTGCAAAAAGAAGCACACTTTGATTAGTGTGACATTATGAAAGTATTTAAAAGGTAGACAGCCGATTCTGCAAAGATTTCTCTGGAGATGTGGACATATAAGTGCAGTTCCACGCGACTCAAGCTCACCTGTATCTCTGGTAATCTCCGTGCCTGAGGCCATGCTGTTGCTGAGACTCTTTGATTATTTGCAAGACTGTAATTCAATATTAAAGGAAATCCATTTTCAACAAATGAGAATTACTGTCAGTAGTAGTCAGTCACTGAGCCCTGTTCTACCACCTTGGAAACAACGATTTTTAGTGAAACACATCCAGAACAGTGTGGAAAAAATATAACTATGCATGTACAAAGTTTGACGAGAAACAATGTAACGTGGTCGTGTTTCTATGACATCTTTACAGTCGACTCAGTGACACGTAGCCTTTAACGGTTTGCCCTTACCCAGCTAGCTGGAAAGCTAAGAGTATATAATACTCCCTTTACAAAAACAAAACGAATGAAAACGCATTTTCATTGTTTTTGTGAGAAGGATACTTTCCAGTCCAATTCCTCCGTCCGATGAGTTTTCTTTATTTTCATCCGTAAGGGACAGTTTTCCTTCGTTTTGCTTGTCAGCGGCCATCTCTATATGCTAACGGCTAATCGCCACACATGCTCAATCAGTCGGCGAGCCTAACCGGTGACGAGCCATTCTCGAAGACTACGTCTAAAGATCGCGAGATTTAGTTAGAGCGAAAGCTCAGATGCAGTCACAAAACCTAGGACTTGTAAAGAATTCGAACAATAATTAAAGGACTATATTTATAACAAAGTGTGATTTTTAGGTCTGTTTTAGCAAAAATACGAAATAGTCTCTGTCAGTCAACTTTGCTATGATGTTGCCAGGTAATCTACATTATGGGGAAAGTTCATAACCTAATCGAAGTTTTATAATAATATTAATAATAATAATAAAACATATATTTGATATAATATTAATTAATCTTAATATTAATATATCTTAATATTGAATTAGAAAGCGATCTTAGACCCAGTAGATGGCAGTAATGGGCATCAACTGAAACTAAAACTCGTAAAAACCTTTTGTATCACCAAATCCAATTTTAAAATAATTTTTGTACAAAATATAGTAACGCTTTAACGATTTATGCATGTGAATGTGGATTTTGTTTTCTACTGTGTACAACAAAGCATCAAGTAAGAGCAGTGCTACCTGTGCCTGCTCTTCTATAATAACAGTTGGATTTGGCACGAAATATACTTCTTTTTATCTCTTTATATCTTTTCAGCAGCAGAAATGTATCTAGTCAAAAAGTTCATAATCGCTGAGATGTGCATAGTTTCCTTGATGGTGGTGTCTCTGCTGCGAACTTGCAGAAGACCAGTCTCCAAGGTGTCCTCAGTGATGACCACAGAGAAAAGCACACCCATCTCATCATACCTGTAAATAATTGACAGAGTGAGCAGCACAAACAGTAAGTACAACAGCAGAAAGAATCAGGAATCTGCTCCAAATGACCTTACTTGGCAAAAAGCTGCTCCATTGATGTTGGTGCCGGTTCAAGATACCCAGGCCACACAGTGATCTTAGTCTCCATTAACTCATGAAGAAGTCCTTCGCAAACCTAAAAGAAAATCAATATATATTTATTAGTTAGTTGTTCTTGGTGGATATGGAAACAAAAAAACCTCGTTAGTTATTGGTGGATATGGAAACAAAAAAACCTCACTTTTACAACAAAGTCAATTTCTTGTGACTACTATAACTGACCTGTTTCAACTCTACAGTAGCTCCTCTGCCAGTATCTAAAGCTACTTTGATCGGAGACAACACTGGATGCAACTTCAGGACCTTAAATCACCAACGGACAATATCTCAATTACAACATCATGCCAACAGAGTAAAACTATAAATTTTTTGTTTGTAACTTATCAAGTCATTTTATAATGTCAAGAATATTTACTTTTCTGTGCTGCAGCCTCTGTTTGCCGTCTTTTTTCTCCAACTGTTGCAATGAGTTGAACAAAAAAGCCATCAAACCACAGTCAACGTTCCCAGTTATGGACAGAACCTGAGGAACCGACTTGCGCTCGTTCCGACACTGAAAAATTAAAGTTTGGAAAAACATCATAGCACCATCATAGCACACTATTTAAATGATCCTCCCTAATGTAACCAATAAAAACAAGTAATCAAACTAAAACTAACCTGAAGTTTTGATCGAACACCATTGTGTACATGCAGCAGCTCAGCATCTCCTCTGCTCCACAGAGTCTCCAGCGCTTCTTGTCCCCATGGGAAATTATACAGGACCCTGACACCACGAGATGCTGCGGCAATGACTTCTTCGCCAGGGACATTGCTGATGGAGAAGCCGGAGGGAGACAATGAAAACTGGATAGGAATGATAAAATGGATTTTAAAAAAAACACCCAGCATGTGTTTATCAGACAAGATATTGAGAACCTAGTAAAATCAAAATTGCTTCAGGGTGAAAAAGCTCAACACTGGCAAATACAATTCAGTAAAATGATTAAAGTGACATCCAGTGATCACAATTAATGTGTTTTAGGATCTTCTTCATTTTGCCCCATAGTCTGCCACAAAGTTCAAATACTCACTTTTCTCCACCACTTTAGCCTCTGTCGAGCCCAGTGATCCAACCACTGTGAAGAAGTGCGAGGGGAGCAGAACCACACCAGAGATGTTTGTGTAAACTCAGTCAGGCTGGCAGAAAAATATCCAGGTGAGAAAATACAAGAAAATCATAATTTTAGATAAATAACAAATATTTTACAGATTCTAACACAGTTATTTTTGTTATTCATACGTCATTGGTAAACATTTAAGAATAGATCTACAAAGATGCAATTCATGCACTGTTTGTATCTAATGACCTGTTAAAGATTGAAGACAACCATTATATTGTGTTTTTTAAGCCAATTATCTGTGCCCAGTGAGCAACAGGAAAAATGAAAGATCAACCAAATCTTACCGACCAGAGCCATCAGAAGGCTCAAAGCACAGACCGACTTCTGCCAGGCCAAAAGGCAACTTCCTGTTTACCAGCTCCAACATTGGGACAAACTGTAGTAAGGCACCTGGAGAGAGGACTTAGGTTAATCCATGCTTTCCCGAAGGTGACCCAATAATACCATACGACTTAAAACAAAAAAACAAAACATCTCTATTTCAGACCAGACCAAATGAGAATGTTATGTAGAATCATATGTAGTTGTTCACCTTGTAGTAGGTTCCTTCTCAACGGTGGTGCCCTCTGAAGGAGACTTTGCAGCTCCTGGATGATTTGCTCCTTGCTTATATTTTCCTGTTGAAGCATTTGTTTTAGGCTCTCAGCTTCAACCATCCTCAGGTGTCCTCCACCCTCTCCTGTATCGCTGTCTCCATCCATAGTGCAGCTCACAGTGCTGATCCCAAACACCTGATCTCTGGAGCTGCTCACAGACCTCCACCACTGCTCCAGAAGGTTCCTTCTCAGCTCCATGCCCAATGGACCATAGTTACAGCTCATGCCACGGCGGAACCGCGCTGTGTTTGACTTACCAGGTGAGATGAAGTATCTGTCCACACACAGCTGTAGCATGGTCTTGACCTGAGCCAAATCGTCGCTCTGGGGAGCACTACAGCGCCCTCTGACGTGCCACAGCTTCAAGGTTGATAGCACAGGTCTCAAAATGTAAGTTGTCATTATGGAACGTCCAAGCTGCTTGTCAAAGCTCGTCAATTCCAGAAATTCATCCTCAGGAATTATGCCAGGCTCGCTCTTAACACACAACAGTTACAACTTTAATTTAAACTACATGGCCCGTTAACATCGATAAAAGACAATAGACAGGCCTGCTTTAGGGGTTTATATAGTTGAATACAAAATATGGTTAAAAAGCTATTTTCATCTACATAACGCACTTGTTACCATTTATCTCACGTGCAACGATGGCCGCTTTAACCAGTTTAAAATTTGCCGTGACATTAAACCGGATGTCATTGTTTTACATCCGGGAGGTTATACATGTCACATGACAACACGAAAAAACAAACATGAAGCACAATATTTTTCGGACATATTCTGGTTTTAAAAAACAACAAACTATAAGGAAAGGTAATTTATTAATTTAGTAATTTATTTGGTGGAGCGGCGAGGAAAAAGGGTCAGCAGGAGCAAGACTGAATACGTTTGTATCAATGAGAGCGAGAGGCGAGTGGAAAGGTAGAACGGCAAGGAGTAGAGGTATATGGATGGATATGTCATATAGTATATACTGTGCCCAAAACCTTATAGTCCAAACATTATCTGAAAGCCTGCTGGCAGTCACATGACTCCCATTTAATACTGAAATAATATCCATAGAATACTAGTCATACAGCTGCAAATCAGCAGCAAGACCTTATAAGTCAGTTCTTGACTAACGAAGGCATTAAAAGCATTGACTGGTTCCCAAGACCTGGTCCAGATGTAGTGTGTATGACATCACAAAACTGATGTACATTATTTACTTATTATATACTAAAATTGGCAGTATAAGCCTAAGATTTAAACTTATTTACCCAATAGTACTCATTGCCATTTTAAATTATATACTTTAGTTGTATAATTTTGCAGCTAAAAATCATCAATGTGTAAGATATTCCGCTGAAGTATTTTTTTTCTTGATTTTGAGTAGTATTAGTTTTGGATGTACAGAAAAAGCAAAGCTATTTCTGTTGACTTAGATAAAATGTAAAGGTTGTATGTTTGCCCAGTTTCTAAAGTTAATTAAGTTCGATGACACACATTCACACAACACAATGCTTCCATATAACAGGTTTTATTTAAAAGGGGCTCCACACCCCTGGTTTTATATGATCTCCATTAACATCTCTTGAAACATAACAGAAACCGAAACACAGCATTACCTAGTAAAAATAAGTTATAGAGGAATGTTACAAAACAACATTTACGGAAATGTGCAGCCATCGTAGATGAACTACGATACAAGTCTGGCTCCATTCACTGCTCTGGGTTGACTTAACTACAACCCTGCTGTAAGCAAAACAAGGTTAAACTGTTCAAAGTATAATCATATAGCTATAATTGCAATATTCCAAGACAAAACAAATATGATGGTTCCCACTTATTGTGCGTATATTTTAACTACTGTGGGAAGGGTGGTGGCATGGGGTAGGGCACCATTGGTGGTGGGGGTGGAGGCTGTTGGGCCTGTGGTGGAGGGGGTGGCTGAGAGTTGAATGGGAATGGTGGATGGTTCATCCCGTTCTGACTGGATCGCTGCATGCCAAACTGAGGGGGGCCCTGAAAATTTTGATTACCAAAAGGACCCACCTGGTTTACTGGAGCACCAAAATTACCCTGTCCATTGCTGTTGCCGTAATTGTTGCCATAGTTGCCACTAGAGTTACCAGTGTCGCCTCTATAGCTGCCACCATTTTGAGCCTTGTTGGCACCAAAGGCAGCCTTTGGCCCACTCCCAAAACCTCTATCACCATCCCTGTCCCTGTAATTATTACCACCAAAGTTGCTCCTCCCACTCCCAGAATACCTATCACGTCGGTCGTCCTTGTAGCCACCTCTTCCCCCCCTTCCACGACCTGCACAAAATAGAGAGAGAAGGAGAAGAGATAAGTGAAGTATTTAAGGCTTTAAATACCATGAAACTTCTTAAATTTGGTCCAGGATCGTCCCTGATTTTAAAGAGGGTTGGCAGGTATAAGTCACTGTAGCCTGGTCATATTATTATTGCCTGAATGCCACCTTATGAAAGTAAAACATTTTGTATATTAAAGATTTTGGATCCTAAAAGTTGTGAGAAACTAAAGTCGATACATTATAAGAGGATTTCAAAAGGGGGTCTGTGACCCATGGAATGACCAATGGGATATCACATGGATAGATGGGGTGCAGTATATTTTGCAAGTTTAAAATAAATGACACAACACTATAAACACGTAATATTTAAATGATCTATTATTTAATGCAAAAAAAAGTTTGTTTATATGACCACTTCAAAACAAAAGACTACTTCATACAGTATAGTAGGGGGAAACCTCAAAGACCCCTGTTTTATACTGTTTATCAAAAGTATAAGAACATAATTCAATCTACCTATTCATATGACAAAAATGTACCTCCTCTGTCCTCTGCCATCTGAATCAGTTTAGGGTTTATGGCCTGGTTGGCCTCACGGAGCACAGAGATCAGGTCGCTGGCTTGTTTCATGTTGTTGGGGGTGAAGAAAGTGTAGGCTGTGCCTGTTTTTTGGCTTCGGGCTGTGCGTCCAATGCGGTGGATATAATCCTCGGAGGAGTTAGGGTAGTCATAATTGATGACAAATTTCACATCCTCCACATCTGTGAAAGTGTTGCAGTGTGGCAAAACAAAACATGGAGGCCACACAGGAGTTTGCACACCACAACAGCCAGATCAAAGGAACAAGTTAGCAACTTTAAAGGCCATGACCATTATAGGGATGATCATTAGACTGTGGGGGGGGGAAAAACATGTTAATACAATTTATTATGTACACATCTATTCCTTGGGAATACTACTGTGGGAAGAGAGGAACGAAGCACACTCCACTTGCTTAACATATTTAAAAGATCCCAAAAGACATTCACTCTCCCTATTATTACCAAGGGAGAAAAAAAAAAAAAGAAAAAAAAAAAGAAAAAAAAAAGAAAAGAAAGAAAAACATCAATTTAAATCTTACCATTAGGAGTATGCATTCACTAGTCCTTTCCCAATGCAGCGAAATCCCCCACAAATTGTCAAGTGACATCCAGGAGCTTCTATGCAGTTGGGCCTCATAATGCACTGGGACATCCTCATAAGCCAAAATTGGACCAATGGGAGGCTAGCTTTTTGCATGTCCATTTTCCCAGTAAACTTTTAAAACGGGCTTGATAATAAAAGGCCACACTGCATGTCTTGCCGAGACAAAATAGACTAAGTTCTAATTTGAGCAGGGGCCCCTTAAAAAAAAAAAAGACCCTACTACTAAGTTAACATAGGACCCCACAAGGCCCATACCCAGACCCCTCTTCAGTCTCATCAAGGCAAGATCTTCCAAGAAGCCAATGTTCACTTGAGAAAATGTCTATCGTTGGCAGGTCTCGACATGACTAAAAAACGCAGGCGAGGGAGGAACTTTGATTTGAGCTTTCTCACTCTTCTCCCACTAGGTGTTCCCACAACCCCCTACACACATGTGCCAGGTCTCATCAATTTTCCAAGACAAATATTTCAAACTGCTCTCGCCATTTCAGGAAATCCAGCACTTTGATATAAAAAGAAAACCATGGAAGGTTTAGATGGGCTCACAGGCTCCCATGCTACGTGATACGTGCTAGAAGGTCAATAACAATTGTTCCAAATCTCAAACAAGTGACTTGCAATACATTAATCTCTAAAACAACAACATGCAAAGCAGAAGTCACACAATCAACCTTTCTTAACGTTTGAGTTGGAAACAGCTGGATGGCATTTGTTGGGTGAAATCCATGGACAGAGAACAGATGTGTATTTCAACAGCATTTCAAAGTCGTAGGCTTAGCCACACAGCCTTTTGAAGATCACTGGCACAAGGAGCTTTCACCTCTCTATGCCCACTGGGTGGCAAGCCAGTTGAGCACTTCCAATATGTCATCCTTCTCCCTCTCGAGGCCTGGGACTATCATGCCTAGTGCCTGCCACAAAGACTCCACCTTAAGGTGAGGAAAACTCAGAAAATGCATAGAAAAGTTAAAGAAAGCAAAACCACTTTCTTTAAAAATAGGCATAACACTGAAGACAGTGGTTCTACTCAAGTGTATACTCACCTAATCCACGGGAGGCCACATCTGTAGCAATCAGGATTGGAGCTTTGCCATACCTGAACTCTAAAGTGAAAAACAGTCATTAATTATACTAAACAATCCCTTGATATTGTAATTATCTTTTAATTATTGAGTTCTCACCATTCAGAACCCAGTCCCTCTCCTGTTGGCTCTTGTCTCCATGAATTCCCATTGCTGGCCACCTGTGGCGAAATAAGCTAAGTTAAGTTTAGCTGGGCTTGTGTTTGACACACAAAAAAAGTATAAATTATTAATGAGGAGAGGTCCAAACACCACTAGTGTAAAAATCCTCACCCATCTCGCCTCATCCTCCTGGTGAGTTCATCACAACGTCTTTTGGTCTCCACGAAAATGATGGTCTTATTTTCCTTTTCACTCATTATCTCCTCCAGCAAGCGGATGAGTCTAAAACAAATGCCACATTAAAAAAAGTTGAGAAAAATTGACTTTTATCATTACGACTGTTAAGCAGTTAATACAAAATAATCAATAACTGACTTGTCCTCCTTTTCCATGTCATTACAAACATCAACAATCTGTAAGATGTTATGATTAGCACTGAGTTGCAGCGCTCCAATGTTAATCTGGACATAGTCCTTAAGGAAGTCCTCAGCCAGTTGGCGAACCTCCTTAGGCCAGGTTGCACTCCACATCAGAGTCTGCCGGTCGGGCTGTTAAAAACAAGAGGAGGTAAGAATGCAGGATTTACACTTGAATCAACAATTCGGGCAGTAGTATATCAAAATATCATTCCCAATTTTACCTTTTTCTCATGTAAAACTGAGCTATAACATTACTCACCCTGATCTGTTCAACTATTTTGCGAATTTGTGGCTCAAATCCCATATCCAGCATGCGGTCGGCTTCATCCAGAACCAGATAAGTGCAACGACGTAGATTAGTCTTACCACACTCCAGGTAGTCAATGAGACGACCAGGGGTAGCAATACATATCTCTACACCTTTAACAACAAACAAAAAGTGTCCCAGACACAATTACATAGATTACCATAAATTCTTCGCTAAAGACAGGAAGTTGAGTATATTGTATAGGTTAAAGAAACAATCAAAATATAGGTACAAAAATAAATAAAAGTCACATTGACTTTAAACCATTGAGCATACCTCTCTCCAGGTCCCTGATCTGGGGTCCTTTGGGTGCACCACCATAGATGCAGGTGCTTTTAAGACGAGAGGCTCTTCCGTACTCTGCTGCTACTTGCTGCACCTGCTGGGCCAGTTCACGGGTAGGTGCGAGTACTAAGCACTGGAGCAAGGTAAATGATCACACACACACACACACACACGTGTGAAGAGCAAAATTCTCCTTTAAACAATTATATAATTATATAAATATTAAATTGTGAAAAATAAGACTTGACATATGTCTTTATTATTCAGTTCTAATGGATACACCATATGTTGTACTTACAATTGGTCCATCGCCATGCTCCAAGAATGGCTGATGCTGGATGTGCACAATAGCAGGCAGAAGATACTGAGAAAAAAAAAAACAAAGAAACCTTGCAAATTCAAACATGCAACATTAGCACAAATACAGCTTCTTATCCTGGACAACAATCTAGACTTAAACCATGACAAAATTGTCCTGACAGATTAGAACAACGACAGAAAACCAAGACTACACTTACAGCTCTCTATCAACACTAACATTTACAACAACTTGATAATGCAAAAGATGTAAAAAAAAGAAAAAAAGCATTTTAACTCTTTTTTCTTACTGTTTTGAAAAGTTTGTAATGTTTCACTTACTGCAAGTGTTTTTCCAGACCCAGTTTGAGCAATGCCCACCATGTCTTTGCCACTGAGGGCAACTGGCCAACCCTGGGACTGAATAGGGGTCGGTTCAGTCCAGTTCTGTTTTAGGATAACATCCATGACATAACCTAAGAAATAGATAGCAAATGAAAACAATTTTAATTATATGTTGGGGAAATCTTGACACATTATGTTTTGGGTCTATTAAATCAACCCACTCGGAAAGGAAGCTTCATGGAATTTAACCATTGGTGTGGGACAATCTCTGCCTTTGACGGTTACTTCTTTGGTTCGGCGGTACTGCTCAACCTCTTGCTGTATTTTGAAGACAGAAGTGCTATTAAAAGTGTGCATATCTGTTAAATATGTTGATATATTTAGTTACCAATAACATCTACTATTTAGTAAATAAAGTCTTTTAGTTGTAAAATGTCAGTGTAAAAAATTACAATTGTTCTGTGTGTGACATCTGGGTGCTCCTGGTAGAAGTTCTTCTGGAATTTAGGCAGTTCATCAAGGTTCCAGTGCTTCTTCCGCAGCCTTTCACCAGGGTTGCCAAACTTTCCTGGAGGAGGTCCACCTCTGTTGCCTCCACCACCACTGAATCGGGGGGGTCCACCACCGTACCTTGTGTTTCAAAAGAAAAAAAAACCATAATGAACTATTAGTCAGTTCATAATAATAATAATAATAATAATCTACTAATAATATAATAAAAACTCATTGAATAACACGTGAAGCTTTCCATAGATTAATAGAATATCATTTGTTTTTACAATCCATTTAAACAAAACTTTCATTCCAGGGTATCCAAACATACAGCACCACCAGCAGGGGAGAGGCACCATGTTGTTTGTTTATAAACAATTTTTTCTTACTATTTTGCGCATTTTCTTACATAACTATATTTAATTACGGTTTTTAAAATCAGGTCGACAGTTATTTGAGTGTCAGTGTAGGCTTTTTTTTTTTGTATATGTCGCCATGTCCTTAAAGAATACATTAATACCATAGTAGTGTTTTAATGACATTGACACCGCATTAGTTGACGCAAAACTGGACTTAAAAAAAAAAGAAGAAACACAGGCCGTAAAGTCAGAAATACTACCGCGTCACAGACAGTTGGACCTTAAACCGCACATCCAGCTAACAACAGGCGTCTTTAGCTGCCATTTTAACTCTAATCAGCAAAGGTTTAAATTACATTTAGCGGGGCAAGCAACCACGTATAGACAAAATCCATCTATGTTTACAAACAAGCGTATAACTAACTATTGACAACCAGTGACAAGTCATTAGAAGACAATGATGCGACTACAGACATGGCAGCAACACCAAGGCTCCTAGCCAATACTGGTAAAGATGCTAATACCGGCTAACAGTCAGATACGTAAAACGTACATTTCACTTACCCTCTATCTCTGCCACGATCTCTGTCGGAGAACCCAGGCATTGTGTAGCAGACTGCAGAGGGACGAAGGGGAAATTAGCAGTGTTATTGTCCTTGAGGAGGAAGAGAATTTTCAAGTGAAATAACAGGGTTGTGGTCGTCACGGAAGAATTAAAAGAAAATGCCGGCAGTCCAAAGCTGTCTTAGAGACGGATGTGACGTTGAACCAGACGAACAACCAATACGTATAAATGCGCGCCGCGCAGCTGTACTACGGTCCAGTAGATACACAATACACTACAGTTGGGTACAGTTAAAGTATTAGTATACGGCGAAACCTTTTACGTAAACTATGATTAAAGAGCAGAGGATTCTGCATTGCATCCTTAACGGTTTTTTCTTTCATCCTTGTAGATTAAATTAACAAAGTTCTGTTAATGTCCCTTTCTTTTGTCCATGGTCTGGTAGTGGCGCAACTAGGACATGCCAGCGGTCTTCGAAGCCATGAGAAGAATACGGAAATAAAAAACAAAGAAAAATGTATTTCATGTTACATTTAATTTGTATTTAATTTTTCAATGAATGCACCGAAAACCATCATTATTACACACCTAAAATAAACAATATTTGTTATTCTACATTAAAATGTGTTCATTCTTTTATTATAAAACACAAATACTACGAATATAATTAACCATCATTATCATAACTGAGACACGGAACATGGTGAACAATGCCAGGCCAGTCTGGGTGGATGTATTCAAAATATGACACAAGATCTGCAACGGTTTTTATCTTTAGCACTGCCTGTAATTCAGCACAACCACTCTCTGTTACACTGTCACTGCACGAGAAAGGGACATTTAATTAGTATAAATACAACATTAGAAGAATGCAATACAAAAGTCAAAAAGTCGGTCGTAAATCTTTTTAACCCGCTTCCTTATCTCCGTCGGTATTTATGTTCAGGTCAAGTTTATTGCATTTCCTGGGCTGTGGTTCTGTGTTAAAATTGGACAGGAAAAAAAATGCATATTAAAAATAGATTTTTATGTTTCTGTAATAAAATCTACATTTCCAACATCTGTATGTTATATGTACAAATTATAATTAAAATAAAAAAGTGACATAAAATCAATATTTACTTTTCAATTTAGAATGATCACATCTAATCAGTAGACAAAAATAAGAGAATAAGAACTTTAAAGATACTAACCACAAAATTTGCTCCACAATAAATTCCTGTCATTTCTGAGGTCGGAAATATTGGCTCGTAGTTGATTTGTTGTTTTATTGAGGTCAGCAAAAATGGCCAAGAACTGTTTTCTTTCTTCATCCCACTTGGTTTTGTCTTTATCCACTGTATATCAAAAGAGAAATCATCATCGCCTTACAGTATGTACAGTATTTAATAATATTGTATTAATTGTACATAATAATTAGCTATGTGAAGTAAACACAAATTAAGAACTGATGTAAAAAACCCACTCTGAACTCCAATGCCAATTAATCCAGCCAGGAGGAAAAGACAAACTACCACTAGACACACTGTAGATGTTTTGTTGTGTGTCCGCTTCTGGAGAGACACTTAAAACAGTACAAAACATTTTGATCAATATTCCAACTTGTTATTATTGTTTTTTAAGTTAAAGACAATAATATACATACACGTTTGGTGCTGTGCTTCAGCAGGTCCAGGTAGATGTGATGACATGTTCTCCACCCAGGGATTGTCATATACTCTCAGGCTTTCAGTACTCACGTAGATATCCATGATTCCCTCTTTGTCATCCTGGGCAAAGCGAACCTTTTTGATGATACCTGGCTCTTGGTACACATCCTGTGACATACCTTTTCTGATGGTAAATTACAAGTCAATAATTATATTGAAAGGCAATTTTTTTTCTCTTGATGTTGTTTATGTAAAACACAGGTGCAAATAGTGTGGCCAAAAGGAGAAGAGCATAAAAAACAGGAAGACAAAGTGCAATGGTATTGGGGCATGTGTTTGTTCCCTTTGTATTTACCTGACCATCGTCAAAAGCGTTTCAAATGAAAAGGTGACAAAACAAAACTGAACCAGCGCTGAAACAGGACGTTGGTGACAAAAATCAATTTAAAATCTACCAAAAGGGGTCAAACCCAAACGAATGTTATGAAGCAGTTAAGGATTGGTTTGGTTTGTAAAAGACCTTCCTCTTATCAAAGAGGCTTCTTCTAGAAACGTCTTCAATTGTTCCTGATAACCAAGCCAGTGAAGTAGCTTGGCTCTCAGCTGCTTCGGATTAAATCACTAGAATGGCAGAACCAGCACAAATTTAGCTTAATGATGATTGGCTATGCTCTCTACTTATAAAAAACAACTCGTTCATGACGTCAGGGGATGTAGCTCAGTGGTAGAGCGCATGCTTTGCATGTATGAGGCCCCGGGTTCAATCCCCGGCATCTCCAATGTTTTTGTTTTTAAATTTATAGAGATTCTAGTACACACTTGTAGTGTGTTGGCCAGCTTTTTGTTGTTACTTCATATAGCGTTTCACAGATGGGACAAATTCAGAGGATATTGAGCTTTGCCAGCTGAAAGCCAGCTAAATTCTATCGTTGGGATTAAAGCTCGATTGTTCCTGGCACTTTGAACCTTTTTCTGTTTTTTTGATAAAACGGTTCACGTTATAAACCCACATATCACAGGCTAGTAATGTGCCCTGATAGGAGAACAGTAACAACTACATAAACAACCATACATCTCCTAACATAATGCATAAATAACAATAAATTTCTCATGACACATATTTTATTTTGTAGTATTTTTTTTTGTTTTTACAAATTTAACTCTCAGCACTTACCAACAAGACAATCAGAAATGGCAGCAGTGTAAATTTCTTGCCAATTGCTGCAAACAAACATTTAAAAAATTAAAATAAATCAAAATGCCCTGTTTGTGTGATGTAAACACTCTTTATTAGACAAAGCCATGAATTAAGCAAATGTGTATTATTTTAAGTTCAGTAATTATTCAAAGTAAAAGAGTATTTTAGTCACCTTACTTCTACACTTGGTATAAGTGAGGTCTTGTACTGAGATTCCAAATTAACATCAAATAATAATGTTAGACAAAACAGTGATTTTTAAGGTAATTATGCGTGAGTGTCCAGCCCCAAAGTACAGAAAAATTCTGACCCTCGACAAATATATTTAGTGTCCCATGCTATAAACTTTAACACGGCTCTTTCTCACACAACCACCACTCAGTAATTCCACAACAGGAATCATTCCAGTTGAATTCCATGTTATTCCTCTCAACACAGTCTTCTGTCTTCCATGATATGTGCCCATAACCTAAAACCAATACAACAAAGAAGGTGAGTGATTAAAAATATTTTTTTTCACAAGATACAATATGATACACTTACAAAACAAATGCATAAAGAAACTCATAAACTCTATTAAATTAAAATAAAAACCCCTGTTCTCATACAAAAGCATCATATACATGTATGACTAAAATGCATTTAAAACAACTGATGTAAAGTGGTACAACTCTATTGATCGCTTTTAATGACATATAAAGGCGTCCTGCAGACTATGAGAGTAACAAAAAAAGCAGATGAATTGAATTAAATAAACCAATGGAAAGTTCAATTTCATGTTTTTGATTGATGTGCTTTGTAGTTTTCTCACCCTTCAGCAACATTTTCAGACAATCTCTCCTGTGGTAGAGTTGACGAACTTGTTCTTCAAGCTGGTTCTTCTGGTTTATAACTTGGTTAATGGTTTCCACTAAGGCAGAACAGTGATCAGGCATCTTACTGCCAGTTTCATCTGTGTTCTCGTTTTTCTTCCCAAATTTGTGTTTGTTACCGTCAATTCCAGTCTGGGTGGGGGAGTCTGATAGTAAGAAAAGAATATTATTTCTATTACAGTACACATTATAGTGATGTGGCTGTCATGGTTTTTTCACGGCAGATCAAAATTAAATCATTCCAAATAACAAAAAAATATATATACAAAAGACAAATGAAACCATACTCACATGTGACACGTAAAGAAATATTGAGAATAGCTTGTACCATGCACAACACCCCAAAGCTGAGGGCAATCAGGTGGATTACTCTTTTCTCTGTAAAATAAACATACACCATTACAACAGTATGAATCCACAGCTGTGTATCACTGCAGTGTTTTGGTATGGCCAAAGTTAAAAAATAACACATATGTTCAATAATAAACAACAGGCCTTTAATTCAGCAATTGTAAAATGCTAGTATTTAAAGATAAAGTGAAGTTATATATATCCCGTAATCTACTCTAATCTTATCTGACCTAACCTTGATCTAAACGAATCTAATCTATGCCATAATATTATGTAATATAATATGAGGCTCAACTGACATACACTAATTTAACTATTTGGAAGTATAATGATGCTACATAGATATATATTTCTGTACATGTACCTGTTAGGTTTGTATCCTTGCATTTTTGTTCATTCGGTTGCTGGTTTACATAGTTTGACATCTTCATGCGCTCGTTACTCCTTGTTGCCTCTGTACGTTCAGGTTCTTCTGTTCTGCTGA